AAACCTTCCCAGGATGACTGGACCAAAACTCAGGACGCCGTGGAAGCTGCCCTGGCTTTGGAGAAGAGCCTGAACCAGGCCCTTTTGGAGCTGCATGCCTTGGCTTCTACCCGTGCGGACCCTCATGTCTGCGACTTCCTGGAGAACCACTTCCTGGGTGAGGAGGTGAACTGATCAAGAAGATGGGCGACGCCTGACTCACATCCGCAGGCTGCCGGCCCCAGGCTGGGCTGGGCAGTATCTCTTCCAAAGGCTCACCTTCAAGCACCACTAGGAGCCTTTGGAGCCCAGAAACCTTTCAGGACCGCCCCCCTCCCCCCCCCCAATCCCCCTGGTGTCCCTGGCTTTTACCTGAGCCTCTTCCTGAAAATACTAGCCATTTTTTTAACCAGCATGGAGCCCTCTCCCCTGCATCCCAAACAAAACAATAAAGCTTTTTTGCAGAAAAAAAAAAAAAAAAACCACCAAAAAACAAGAAAAACAACAACAAACATATGCTGGTGGTCTTTGAACTAACCCACAGATTTAATGAAATTTCAAAAAAAAAAAGTTGCAATAAAGATATTTTTTGGTGGAACATGAATTAATTCTAAAATGTTAAAAAAAATTTTTTTTAAATTGATTTCAGAGAGGAAGGGAAAGGGAGAGAGACAGAAACACCAATGATGAGAGAGAATCATTAATTGGCTGCCTCCTGCACACCCCCTACTGGCGACAGAGCTGGCAACCCAGGCATGTGCCCTTTGACAAGAATCAAACCCAGGACCCTTCAGTCTGCAAGCTGATGCTCTATTTACTGAGTCAAACCAGCCAGGAGCTGAGGTTTCTTTTGGGGGCGATGAAATACAATTGATTGTGGCAAATAGATGTATAGCTCTGTGAATATACTACGTGCCAGGAGGTTGTATACTTTAAGTGGGTGGGTTATATGGTTTATGAACTATATCTCAATAAAAGTATAACAAAAACAAATGACTAAAATTAAAAAAAGACAACACAACTGTTACCAAGAATACAGAGCAACTGGAAAATGATTATGCACATTGTGAGGGAGAATGCAAAATGTTACAGCCACTTGGGAAAAGTTTCTTATAAACATACCCTTACCAAACAATTTAGCAGTCCTACACATAGGTATTTACCCAACTTGAATGAAAACCTATCTGCACACTAATGTTTATTTGCCAAAACCCCCCATCCAAATTTCCCTGTACGAGAGAATGGATAAACAAAGCGTGGTGCAGCCATAACAATGGACTGGGCAGTAACACAGGGAATGACCAGCTGACACAGACAATAGTGATGAATTTCAAATACATTGTGTTAAGCAAAGGAAGTTAGACTCCAAAGCTACAGATGATATGATTTCATATACATGGTGGGACAAGCAAAATTCGAGGGGCAGAAAACAGAGGTTTCCAGGAACCGGGGACTGGGAGCCGTGTTACATACAAAGAGATGTGCGGGAATTTGTGGGTGTGAAAGAACTGTTCTAAATCTTGATTGTGTTGTAGTTATATGACTGAATAGGTCTGCCAAAACCCATAGAACACTATACACAGTACACTAAAATGAGTAAGTTTTACTGTATCTTAATTAAAAATTTTTTATTGATTTTTTACAGAGAGGAAGAGAGAGGGATAGAGAGCTAGAAACATCAATGAGAGAGAAACATCCATCAGCTGCCTCTGCCCACCTCCCACTGGGGATGTGCCCGCCACCAAAGCACATGCCCTTTACCAGCATCGAACCTGGGACCTTTCAGTCTGCAGGCTGACACTCTATCCACTGAGCCAAAAATTAGGGCTGTATCTTAATTTTAAGAAATTCCCATTTTCCCCAGATAACTGTCTCATGGAAAAAATACCTCATGGACAAGGAGAACAGTAATTGCTGGGAGGAGGGAGGAGAGGTAGAGGTGTGAGGGGATCAGTGGTGATGGACAGAGACTCTATGGGGTGGTGAACACACAGGCAGTGTACAGATGACGTATTGTAGAATTGTGCACCTGAAACCTGTATAATTTTGTTAACCAGTGTCACCCCAATAAATTCAATAAAAAAGAGAAAAAATCTGAGAACACTATACACACTACACATGAATAAATTTTTACTATATCTTAATTTACCTTAATAAAAAAAATCCCCATTCCCCCCCCCCCAAAAAAAAATTATCCTATAAAAAAAATATCATGGACCACGAACCCAGACACCAGATGACAATTTAACAGCTACCTAAAATTGTGCCTTTGTTATTTCAACCCCTTCCCAGCTAGGCCTGGCCCTGGATAAGGAAATACAGTAGCGAGAGAGTAGAAATGAGCTGAGAAATGAAAGAACCTGACTTGGCCCCACCACCAGCCTTGCTCTCCCTGCCACGTCGGAAACAGACCCGGATGAAGGGAGAGGAGAGACTATATATTGTGTAAGAATGTGGAGATTTGCTTACTACACGGAGCTGGACATTTAGCTGCTAACATGAGACTGTTTCTGTGACTGAGAAGCCAGAAAAGCTAGGAGATTGGTCTGAATTCAAATAGGGGTATGAAAAGAATTCACCTACAGAGGGGTCTGAAAGAACAGTGAGAAAAAAATAAAGTGACTTTTTATGATCACCTCCCTATAGAGCCTGGTTTGTTTAGTACAACGGTTACATATGCAATCAGTATGCTAATTACAAGTGACTATTACTCAATCCCTCTATGAACTATTTAGGGATCTCCTTGTATTACCAAAAAGTGAGATAGTCTTTTTTTTTTTTTATGAGTATTTTTTTATTTTCTTTTGATTTCAGAGAGGAGAGTAATAGAAACATCACTGATAAGAATCATTTATCAGCTGCCTCCTGTACGCCCTCTACTGGGGTTTGAGCCCGCAACCTGGACATGTGCCCTTGACCAGAATCAAACCTGGGACCCTTCAGTCTGAAGGCTGACTCTCTATCCACTGAGCCAAACCAGCGAGGTCTGAGATAGTCTTATACAGCTTCATAGAATATCAGATAATGGGCCCTCGCTTAGCTGGTTTGGCTCAGAGGATAGAGCGTAGGCCTGTGGACTGAAAAGTCCTGGGTTTCATTCCAGTCAAGGGCATATGCCCGGGGTTTTGGACTCAATCCCCAGTAGGGGATGTGCAGGAGGCAGCCAATCAATGATCCTCTCTCAACATTGATGTTTCTCTCTCTCTCTCTCTCTCTCTCTCTCTCTCTCTCTCTCTCTCTCTCTCTCTCTCCCTTCCTCTCTGAAATCAATAAAAATATATATTAAAAAAGAAAAAAAAATGGACCCTATTTCCAAATGAGCCAGAATCAAAACACATTGATTTGACTGAGGAAGTGAACTGGAACCACCGTACAGGCATAAGCAGCAGGAAGGTGTGATTCTATGGTCTTAGAGTATTCAGATTTCAAGGACATCAAAGGACGTAAGATCCCACGGGCAGGGAAATGTGTGCTAGAACAGTGCCTGGTACAGAGGAGGAAATGTTTGCTGAGTGACTGAATGACTGGAATTCCAAGACGCAAATAGGAAAACGAGAAAGAGATGGCCTTTTCCCCCTCCAGGCTTACGCTGCAAATTAAAAAAAAAAAATTACTATCATAATGATTTTATAGAAATAGAGCTTGGGAACCTATGACAGTGGGTTGAGTCCCAGCTTAATAAGGGTACCGAGTACCACCTGAAATCAGCTAGTGGACAGCAAATGGGCCATGGCGACGCAAGTAACTGTAATTGGAAACCTGTCTACATGAAAACAAACTGGAAGAAAATTTTGTTTCAGTTCTCCATGGAGAGTATTTTTATTTGTTTATATTCTTCTTGCATACTCTAAAACGCACAGTGTGAATTTCCTTTCCTCAGAAACAGGGTGAGGCTGGTCCAGTGATCGGAGATCTTCAGAAGGTCTTCAGAAACGTTGCCTTAGGTCTGAGCTAAGCAAGTCACAGGGATTGGTCATGAACAATTACAAAATTACAGGCGATCTAGTTATTATCCAACAGTTACTGGAAAAGCATCGGGCACACTGACATACAGCCAGACAGAGAGGGTTAATAAGAGCAGATGCTGTGTAAGTGATGGGATTTCCACATATACGGCTCTATGTACAGTATCAGGATTCTCTTACAGACAGTAAACTTAGGCTTACATCATTGTAAGGGCACTCTTATATAGGTACAAGTCTCACCAACTTTAATCTCTTCTCTTTGGCTCACAAATGCACGAAAATACCATAAAACAGCTTTCAGAACTTACTGCATTCATATATAAATAAGATACATTACGAATGGGAAGAAAATACAAGACACCTCTTTAACACGGTAAATCTCTGAATATAAATAAGCAAATATCTCATATACCTACAATTGAACAGTCATTTAGATCATGACATGTGTTTCTCCTCCGCCCCAAGGTCAGACAACAGAGATAGGCACAGTCTACACAAATGAAGTCCTAAAAAATACAGCAACAGCACACCTGTCACAAAGACGCTGCTATTTGTTTTCCTTAACCAGATACTAATGGGGAGGGTGTGGCTCTTGTCACCGAGGGGTGCTTCCTCTCATCCGTCATCGCCTCAGGTGGGAAAAACAATGACAACAAGGTCACCTCCGAGAACAGGATTTCTCTTGGTCCCTACAAGCGGGACACCTGGAGGAACATTTTTCCCCGGGGCGGTTGGGCGAGCTGGTTTGCAGCATGTTCGGCCCGTCGGGTGAAGTTAATTGTCTTGAGGTGGGAACATGCTGTGACCTATTACTAACATCCACTCGCTGTACATACATACATATATATATAGATAGAGGTATATATATATATATATATATATAACTGTACATATAGACTGTGTTCCTAATGTGCAACTTTTTAAAAAAGAACATTATTTCCTGCTAACTACCACGAGCGTAAGTAAGGGTTTAACTGTATCCAAGATATTAGGTTTTCCCCAGTGAAATGGCCTATTGTTTCAGCGTGCCGGAGGGGAACTCAGTGTATGAAGCGGTTACAGATCCTGGCCCAGGCGTTCTATCTCCTCAAGGAGGAAGTCGATGTCGGACTGCGTGGCGGCCGGGTTCGAGATGACCATCCGGAAGAAGTTGGCCTTGTCCCCCTGCGGCTGGTAGCCAACCATGGTCGTGCCGGACTCCATCATCAGGGCTTTGATTTTGGGAGCCACCTTGTGATGGAAACAAAACAGAACTCAAGGCTGACCTTAACACCGCTCTCTTTGCCAGTGCAGCCAGCTGCTTGGTTGGCAATAAAGGGAGCAGTTTGCTTTTCACCCTTCGTGCGTCCACTGACACAAAGACAAAGAAATATTTTATATCTCGGGTTTCTTCAGTGGCTGAGATCTAATGACCATTCGAGTCTACCCCGTCATACATTCCCTCAGAAATTTTGAAAGTCAGTCAGAGAGCAATGATAATAAAAATAAAATAAAAATAAAAACAAACAAACAAACAAACAAAAACTTCTTATGGGCAACTAGACAAAGTAAGGCTTCTTATGGGCAACTACACAAATCAGTGCCCAAGATCATGCCTGGCACACAGACGAATATTTGTTGAACGGCTGGATGGTTGGTATATAAATAAAATATACCAACAAGTATCAATAACATGCAAACTAGATGTAGAATCCACACTCAGAATGCGTTAGCGAGCCGTACCTTGTGGAGTTTTTCCCGTCGCTCAGGGCAGTCCGGCATGCTCCGGAGACTTTGCGGGATGTACCAGAAACACACGTTGGTGTGCTCGGGCTGCAGAGATTTTCCCAAACAAGCAAACGTACAAACAAAACAGAAAATGGTGAGAATCTGAGAAAAGGCTTCTGCCAGACCCCTGGGGATCCTCGGTGGGGACCTTCCTAGTTGCTGTTTGCCATCATTGTGCCTGCCTCTGACTGGTTTGAGACATCACATTTGTCTTTAAGCTGCTGACAGAATGTTTAAAATAGTGTCAGTGATCAGAGTGAGGTCCCTGGGCGAAGGCCACGAGCACTGTACCGTCGATGTGAACTGCTCAGATCCCTCTCCCCCCACGCTGTCAGGCCTCTTTCTTCCTCCTTTGGTGATTCTCCAGCATGCTCCTACTAGTCTAGACTGCCTAATAAATCGGCTAAGCGGAATGTAGGTGGTGTTATATTATAGTGGAGTATGAGCGGATTTTTCTTTATTCAACACTGGCTCCTATTCAGTGATAGAAATATTAGTTAATTGCAAGTTCCATTAGGGCAGCAACCATACATATATTTTGGTCACTGCAATATAGCTCAGTTCCTGGCATGGGGTGACCAATTCACAAGGAGCCAAACCCCCTTCCACACAGCGGGCACTCAGTCAATCCTGGTATAAGCTCTGGGTTATATACCATGTAGGTATGTACTCAGGGCAGACACGGTTGCAGCTTGCTCTCCTCATAATGAATCGATGTAAAGCAGAACTTTGCTTTAGAACCTGCCTTGGGGATCAGGCATATACCCAACTTGTAAGCTTCTTAGAACCGAGACGTAATTTATGAGAAAGGATTCAGACCTGCCAAGGAAAGACCTCGTGTCTGCAAAGAGGTGACGGGGGAAAAGCCATCCCAATGCTACTGGAAGAAAAGCTCATGGACACAGAGAGAATGAAATGAATAGCGCCTGAGAATGAAAATTCTGAAACAGCTTTTAGCCATGTTAGAAAATGTGGTTTTAAGAGCTTTCCTCGACAGGTTTTCTGGAAATGCTGTCTATCTGGTCCATGATGACAACTTACCTCACCACTGAAAACCATTTCAAATTCGTCTCTGTTTTTAATTTTGGCATAGAGGTATTCGGCCAGCTCCAAGCATTTGTCAATCTGATTTTCAAATCCCACTGTTCCCTGTTTTAAAAAAGAAAAAGAAAAATGGAGTTTATTGGTGAGAGGTTATATTTCCAGTGGTGATGGGCATTTGAGAAGCCATGCTGTCCTGTCTACTGGACGTGGACATAGAGATGGACAGGAAGCAGCATCTGACTGTGCACATCTTCGCAGCTCAGGCGACGTGTGCCTGCTCTCTTCTGAAGGCTCTCTCATCTCCGGGCAGTTATTCTCAACAGGGCTCCTAGTTCTCACTAGTGATTCATAGCTGGACCCAAAGTCTCTTTTCTGGTTTGCTTTATGACACTGCTACTCAGTGTATAAACTGTAACCAACTCATGATAAAATGAGTACGGAAATTGAGATTTTGCAATCAGAAACTTTTATAGCAACATTACAGAATAAGTTTAACGTCTGCTGAAGCTAATTTTAAAAACGGTGTTTGTACCTTGGATATTTTTCATTTCATTTTTTCTAGCAATTCATCTCTATTGTACCTGGCTCTTCACCACAGTTCTGAGAAGCACTGCTTTCGACCCACCCTCCCCAGCAGTGAGTCCTGGTCAGACATGACCCACACTCCTGCTACCTTCCACAGCACAGAATCATCCTTTGTGCTGACAGGCAGGCAGGCAGGCAGATGGGAAGCCACTGGCCTCAGTACAGGCCCTGAGATTGCAATAGCTCCAACTATTGACAAAATGGCTGAGCATGAGTTTCAAAAGCCAGCATGGCTGATTGATAACAGCAGTGTGGAGGCTGTGGCGTGGGTCAGTGCTAACAAGAGCAGATGCACAGGCTGGCTTGTGGATTGCTAATGGGCCTGGGTGAAGGCCAACACTGGCAAAGCAGCAGTCACTGCTACGCGCACACCTTGGCCAAACCGCCTTCCACTGGGGAAGCAAGCCTGCACCGGGGCCCCTGAGCAACCGATTCGCCAGGAGCCAACCTTCCAGCAGGTGGCTCAAGGGGTTACGTTTAGGTAAAATAAATAGGCAAATGACTGAGACAGTGTGGTTATTATATTTCTAAACGAGAGGGCTGTTTCTCTTGTTGCTTATGGTTATTTGTATGTTTAAAATACCTATAATTCCTTTGTGGTAGACACCAAATTCAGACTATTCATATATTAAAACACAATGGCTTCGCGAGGGGAAAAAAACTAATAATCTGTCAAATTCTTCCTACAGAGGAAGTAGGTGACTAGATATTTCACTGGAAAGCCTTGTTTTGGTATTAGGTAGACCCCATCTTAAATCACGGAACTTAGTAAAGTCAATTTACAGTAGATAAATAAAAATTGTAGACACAGTATACAGATGTAAATACAAATTGCCTTTACTTGATTGCATAAAAGCACCTTTGAACAAATAGTTAAATGGTAATCTTCTCCCCACACCCATATTTTGGGGGAAATTCCAATAGTTTGCTCTTTTTTTTTTTTTAAAGACAAAGAAATATAACCTGAATGGATGATGAGTGCAGATCTCCTGCATTCAGGCTAGCAGTAGGATTTCTTGGAATAAAATATGTATTTTTCAGAATAGTGTATCAAGTACAAATAATGGGAAAGCCATATTTAAACAGACCTTCAAACTGTTCTGCTTTGCCCTAGCTGGTTTGGCTCAGTGGATTGAGGGTTGGCCTATAGAAACCTGTTGGTTTCCAGGTTTGATTCCGGTCAAGGGCACTTACCCAGGTTGAGGGCTCCATCCCCAGTAGGGGGCATGCAGGAGGCAGCTAATCAATGACTCTCTCTAATCATTGATGTTTCTATTTCTCTCCCTATCCCTTCCTCTCTGAAAATCCATAATAAAAAAAAAACCCAAAATTGTGCTGTTTTGTTCATTTGTTTTGATACCTTCACTGATTATATCCCCATGATTGGAGGCCTTATAAAGGCATTCAGGGTTCTGTTCACATCAATGCAGTAATTTTATCTTTATCACTTTCTACATCTACACTAAATAACTTCAGCATCCCAAAGGATTGCTGTTGAAGTCTGTATCTTGGCATCCTTTTTAGTTGTTATCAGAGAAAGTTATAAAAAAAAAAAAGACACAAAACTTCATGCTAATTCAAACTGAGGAGATTGAATGGAGGAAGGGAGAATTTGACATGAGGAAGAAAGTGACTTCATTCGCAAAGAAAATACAGTTAACTCAATTATCTAGATATTGATTGAACAAATAGTGAGTTATCTGGGATACAACTTTGCCTCTCTTTTGCCAGCCTGTGCAAATTACATTTCTGCTCTATTTCCTGAATTCCCTTTTTCTTACCTTTGCTTTCCACATCAGCCAGAACTTAAAAATGTCCACGTGGCGGCCACACTGAATTGCCTTGTCCCCGGTGTCGTAGGAGACATCATATTGCTTGTCCGGCTGGAAGAGGTAGCCCGCACACATCTGGTTGCATCCTTGGAGTATTCCCTGTCATGCAATTCAAGACAGGCATGAGTCTGTATCCACAGGTCAGGGATGGGGTGGCTCTGAACCACGGGTGGCTGGACTTGAGATCACATGCAACCTTCCTAATGCCTGACGAGCTCTTGCATTCGTTCTCACGTTCTTCTCTAAAACCACTCTTGCAAAAACCTTTGTCCCTTTCCCCCTATCACTCTCATTAGAAAATAATCTTTTGTCTCAGATGCCAACACAAGGGCCCACTGTCCCTCTTAGGGACATTTGGAAGAATGTGTGGGTGTTTGGGGTTGTTTCAAAGTCTGGGGCGTGCTATGGCATCAGTGGGCAGGGGACAGAAACTTCCTGCAGTGGGTGGGACAGTGTCAGGTTGGGAAGAACTTTCCTCCCCCAAAGCATCCCCTAGAAAGTCTTCCGATCTTTTTCAGGATCTGCTGTGCGGTTAGGGGCCCTCTAATGAGGACTGGAGTAAAGTGCCCGTGCAGGTTCTGGCTCCTACAGGCTGGTGACAGATTCTTTGGGTTGCCTCAGCGTGCAAGAGTTTCCTTTCGAGTGCAGGATGCAGTTATTAGATGTTTTGGGGAGGGAATATGCTACCAACTCATTTACAGAGGTTTTTGGTCAACAGTCCTCGGTCCTCTGAGTTGACATTTGTAATATGTCAAGGTCATCATTATCTCAGCTCTTGGGGCCACAAATTCATGCTAAGAATCTCAAGAATGTTCCAGGGACCACTTGGTTGCCCTCACTCAGGTTCCAATTGCTCTTAACTTCGTTTGTATCGACATGAAGGAATGTGAAGTGAAATAATGCCCTTAGAGTTTCTGTCACTGACAGGGCCCTGAGCCCCGAACAAGGACGGACAGCGGAAGGCAAGAGCCTGGAGGAGGCACGAGGTTAGCTGAAGACTAACAGGTGAAGGCAGGGAGGAACAGCAATGGCAGTCCTAACGGGGCAGCCATGGGGTGAGTTTGCCACCGAGTACTGTGTCAAGACCCCATGCTTTTCTCTTCTTGTGCATTCTGAACCTCAACCAAGGGTGTGCAGGCCACCAGCTCATCTCTGGAGGGACTACAGACCTTCTCCTTGACGAGGATGGCGGAGCACTGCAGTAGCACGCCCATCATCTTGTGAGGATTCCAGGTCACCGAGCTGGCCCTGCAAGAAGCATGTGACACTGAGAAGGTGCTGGAACCAGCAAGAGACCGTCCTCTTAAGGAAAACACCAGCCTCGGCAGCCCATGTTTTCGATGCCTGGAGGTGAACAATTGTTTTGCAGGCAGTCTCAGGGTACTGAGTGGAAGATTCCCTCTTCTAAACAACTACTGCTCATAATGGCTAACGTTTCTGAAGAGCTTGCTGTGTGTCCTATTGCTGTGGGAATTTTGCAGGCATCATGCCAGTGTGATGTCATGGTTCAAAACTCCGGACTTCGGAGCCAAACTGTCCGAATCGGAATCCTGGTTCTGACATTCACTAGTTTGGGAAAGTTACATAACTCCTGTGTGCCTCAGTTTCCTCATCTGTAAAATGGGGGGGGTGTATTTGTCACAGAATTGAATCAAGAAGAAAATGAGTTAATAAATACATATTGCTAATAACTGTGCCTGGAGTACTTAATTCTCACAACAACCCTATGATGTAGGAATTACTGTCTATTTTAGATGGAGAAACTAAGGCACAAATGGGTTCAATACACCACCCAAAGGCTCAGAGCTTGGAAGTGTTGGAGCCAAGATTCAAGTCCCAGGAGTTGAATTGCACAGCCAGTGCTCCTAACCCTTCTGCGGCCTGCCTCCCTACCAGCCTCAGGCTCTGGCTGCGTCTACCTTCGGATCTTATTTATAAAGTGGGCTGGCCATGCTGACCTATCTACTTATGAGGTAGGGAGTCGAGTGACACTTAAAAGCAAGGATCAATTAGGCAGCTCTAGACTCTGTCTATGGAGCAGCTTTGTTTAATTGATAAATGAACACACGACATTGCTAGTTCAGGCCGCAATGATAGCTTAACAAGCACGGTCTCCTGGCAACTGCCTCAGTCTGTTAATGAGCAGCACACTAGCTAGGAATACGTATATTGTATGATGACTGCAACTTGGGTAACTCACTTCGGTGGCTTACAGACTCCTTCCCAGTGGCCTGGCCCACCGCTGGGCTCTGTGCTTTCACATGGGAAGGATGTTCTCCCCAGATGGAGCGCTTGGCTCCGAAGTACTCGAACTCTCTCTCCCTAGAGCGAGCATTTTTAAAAATATATATATTTTATTGATTTTCCACAGAGAGGAATTGAGAGGGATAGAGTTAGAAATGTCGATGAGAGAGAAACATCGACCAGCTGCCTCCTGCACATCCCCCACTGAGGATGTGCCCGCAACCAAGGTACATGCCCCTGACAGGAATCGAACCTGGGATCTTTCAGTCCGCAGGCCGACGCTCTATCCACTGAGCCAAACCTGTGAATTTTTAACCTCTTCATCTTGCGTATGTCCCTTAGAGGGAAAACAGCTTACACGTGTGACGACAGAGTGTGTGCTGTGTTTCAAAGGTGAGAGAGGAAGGCCTGAGGTCCTGTTGCTCTACATGGATGAGAAAGAAAACCTTGGAGAGAGACACCTAGGAGAAGTTCTAAGGGAAGCTGACGAAGTGCTTATCTCATTGAAATGCATCGTGAGTCGAGCCATGTTTAAAAGGTGGTCGATTTAATCCATTTCCTCATAGCTCTCAATCCCTGAGTCATTAAAAATTATATTTAGACCTCATAAAATGCCTCAAATTAAGTGGTTTTGAGTGTCCTAAAAAAAGGTCTGAAGGAAATGACTCTTTGCTGCCACAAATGGAAACTAACAAGACATGGTATGGATTCAATTTCCTTCAGAAGACACACATGCTTTAAAATGTTAGATAAGAAAAAGGCTAATGCAAAATGTTCCTACCCTTAAGGAAGAAAAATAAAAAAATTGCCCGATAAACCTAACGTGCAGTTGGACTGGTTCTTCTGTGTTGAATAAATTATCCTCCAAGTTACAGAGGCAAGTAGCTATGCCGCAAAAAGTCAGTCCCACTCCCTTTGACCCTGGCCCCTCAGAACCGGCCCAGAAGGGAAGAGGCCCGGCACAAGTAACAAAACCTCTGTGAGAGCAGCCACGGTGTGGCTAGCCTGGTCTGCTCTCCCCTGGCCCGTTGCTCCAGCCACACTGGCCTCTCTGACGGCCCTCCATCTTGCCAAGAACATTCCTGCCTCAGGCCTTGGCATCTGCCCTTCTCACCTCTCTTCTCTGTACCCTTGCTTCCTGTCTCCCTTTATCTGCTGAAATGTCACCTCCTCAGAAAGGCCTCTGACTACACTGCCTCAAACAGTATGCCTTGTCCCTCCCTGTTGTTTAACTGTTTTATTTTTCCCCCCTCTGAGACAGACGAATATCTCTTTGTTTATGAACATCCAGCCCACTGGAACGTAAGCTTCGGGAGGGTAAATATTTCAGTTGATAACACCTTCCGTATAGCGCCATGTTTTCTTACATGTAGCAGATACACATATTTTAGAAAAGTGCCATGCATGGCTAGACTAGAGACAGGCAACCAAATATTCGCATCCATGTCTTCCTGGCTCATGATAAGTGCTCCATAAGTATTTGCTGAATCAATGGGATCAATCCATTGGAAGCAGGTCAAAATCACATTCAGCTGAGCACACCCACCAAACGTGAATGGTGAACAAGAAAATAAATACCCGTGTTTCCCCGAAAATAAGACATCCTCCGAAAATAAGACCTAGCGCATGGAAAAATAAGACATCCTCTGAAAATAAGATCTAGCGCATCTTTGGGAGCAAAAATTAATATAAGACACTGTCTTATTTTCAGGGAAACGATACGTTGGATGAGCCGAGTGTCCTACCCTTCTCGCAGCAGTAGGCTTAATGAGAAAGAAAAGTGAAATGTGCCGTTGTCACCTTTCATTTCGCCTCCAAATCTCCCCACTGCTTGGTTTCTTGTCTCTCCTACCTGAGCACCTACCAATCACATTCACTATTGTGTTTATCACATTGGGTTGTAACTGTTTACTGTCTCTCTCTCTCTAAATTATAAACTCATTGAGGCGAGGACTCATTTGACTGAGCAATCAATCATAACCCATCTCCCAGTGCCTGGCACACCGTAATTGCTCAATAAATCTCTACTGAGCAAAACTGAGCTTAGTCAGATCGAAGCAAGATGTTGGGGACATCAGCAGACTCAGCGGCATAGCATGTCTGATGGCCCGAATGGGAGGCAGCCCAAACTCCGGCCCTTACCTTTCTATGCCACTGAGCTTATGACGGTGCTTCCTGGACATGAGCAGCCCACCGCCCCAGGCAGCCTGTGAGGACAGAGAAAGGAGAGGGAGGGGGCGTCGTGACATTTAAGAATCCTAACCAGCCACTCCACATCGCTACAAAAAACAGGAGACAGTGAATGGTGAAACACATAAGCTTCTCTGACAACAGGAACCCACACTGATTCAGTTCAATCAGTGGCAGGTGTAATTCAGCACTTGTCAGGTCTTCAAACGTTCCTCCAGGTTAAAGTCAGAGGAGCTGTGAGGGACACGGGGAAACTGGTCTGTGGTGCCAGGACCCAAAGGCCTAGAGCATGCCGGGAGGGCAGAGACACTCTGTGAGCCCCAGGGTGGCTCTGGGAGGGACAGACTGGCGCCTGCCATCAGATTCTCCCCATGGTGGAGTCTAAGGGCTTCTGTAAACTCAGAGAGCAGTGGCCAAGCCAGGCTGGGATGTCCCACCACAGCTCCGGCAACATCAAGACATTTTTGTGGGTACCCTGGCACGTAAATTTACTGAATGGCTTGGGACACAGCCTTTGTCAGTCGTTTGTTCAATAGTACCGCAGATTATCCAACTGTCCGGTTGTGAGAAGTTATATCCATAAGAGAACAGAGGGAGGAAAAAGAAAAAAAATATACACAGTATGTATGGGAAAATGTACCTTTTGTGTTTCTGGGGAAGTTTGGGACTACATCTCTTAGCTGATAACACCTTCCATATACTGTCTTATTTTTTCCTACAAGTACCAGATATGCATTTACAAAATTTTTTTTTTTTTTTTTTTTTTTTTTTTTTTTTTTTTTTAGAAAAGTGTGTCATAGATGGCTGACTGAAGGCAGCTAGCTGAGCATCCACATTCCTGGCCACTTTCTTCATTGTATCTTATGTGTGTTTTTTTCCCCTCTGAAATCAGTTATATTTCCCTCTGCAGCTATGTGTCCAGACAAAAGCTACTTGGAAAGGTGATAGAGACGACATCCTAAAATGAATCCCAGGAGATAGCAACTGGCCATAAGGGAGTGGAGGAGCCCCAGAGGATGCACAGGCCTGTGGTGTGTCCGATGGTGAGCGCCAGCTCCGAGCCAGAGAGCAGGGGAGCTAATGTTTTGTGGAGAGAGAGCCCGCTGGGCAGTGGGAGAAGCCTGAGGCAAATCACAAAGCAGAACCGCGTCCACCCCGTGGGCTGGGCCTCGCTGTGAGTTACAGCACTTACATCGACATGCAGCCAAAGGTTATACTTCTCACATATATCTGCAATCTCCTGTATCGGATCAAAGGCTCCGTAAACGGTCGTGCCAGCAGTTGCATTGACATAAAGAGGAACATATCCCTAGAAGGCAAGAGGGACAGGCTGATTAGTCTCTTGAACCTCTCTCCTTTCCGCAGGAGGTAGCTGAATCGCAGCAGCATTTATTCACACATCAGCTGTGGTATCAGACACTCTATCTGGCAGTTCTTCATTGGTGCATTTACTCATTCATTCATTTATTCAACAGATAGTTTCTGAGCGACGTTTTTGTGCCAAGCCCTGTTATAGAAGCAGGGAACACCGCAGTGAGCAAAGGAGATGAAGATTTTTGTCCTCGTGGGGTTTATGTTCTTGTGGACAGTGACAGAGAGCAGACAAAACCAAATAAGCAAAATACACAGTCTGATAGGGACAAGGTCTGTAGTGAACAATAAAGCAGGGAAGAGAAATAACAAGTTTAAAGTGTTAGGCAGGTAGTTCTGAATAGCATCTGGACACTGTACAGTTCAGAAGTGGTGTTATTCTAAGTGTACTGATGTAATAATAGCACTGAAGCATTGCGTGGTTATTTAAAACCAGTCCATACACTGTTTCACTGACAGTGGACATGGTAAAATGTCTTGATGTGAACAAGAAATAAAAAGGAAATGGCATCAGACAAGACTAGGGAAAATCTGTGAGTCCTACATTTTTTTTTATTTTTTTATTTTATTTTTTTTTAGCAAAGGTGGAGACTTGTTGAAGAACAGACTTCCAGGTAGGGAGGGGGAAGAGTCCCACAGAACTGACTCCGACATGGGGCAGGGGAGAAGGGTCCCCTGTGAGTCCTACGTTTTATTGAAGCTCAGGTCTACCTCTACTCTTTGCTCAGTCCTAGTGACATTTCCATTCACCCCCCTACTGTAACCCCCCAAAAAAACTACAATTAGAGAGGGAGGCACAGAATGTAACCAAAATAATGAGTTGGTAAATGGCTTGACAACTATCTGGCACGGCCTTGTGGATGCATCTGTTCTATGAGATTTTTTTGTTTAATAGACTTGACTGAGGCAGATTCAACAAGTATCATGGTCCACCTGGCAGGGCATGGAAGTACTTGGTTAAACAAAATCCCAAACTAAAATGATACTTGTTAAAATGAGATTACACCTAAGAAGAAGTAAGTGAAAACCACAATAGGCTGTATCTTCGCGGTGCCTGAGTAGTGGATTTATTGAAGTTCGTAAAACTAATCATGTGGCACAGTTAAGATAAGACAAGAGGTTTAATGTCCGCAATTTTAATTTTTCAAAAAAAACCTCAATCTGGTATAGACACAGCTTTAAAGCCAGATCATCTCACAAGTTGGAAATAAATAAATATCTAAGAATAGAATGTTAGAAACACAATAAAATAATTCCTTATACCATCAAAGATTTTTACTGTCTACAGCAGAGAGAATATATTTTTAAAAAATTGTATTCACCAGAGTTCAGATGTACCATAGAGTATATACCTTTTGCTTGGCTTCAATAATTTTTGCCTCTAAATCAGCAGGAATTATCTTCCCCCTGTAATTATTATAAAAGGAGAAAAGTGAAAATGAAAAATCAATGAGACTGCACATGAAAAAAAAAAAAAAAACTTCAGCCGCAGCAAAAAGTAATTTAATCGGATCTTTTCAACAGACCATTAGCAGCTTGGCACACTGTACTGAGTCAGTCCTTAAGCACAATAAAACAAATTTAACAGATGAACACATTGCATACATCAAGAGCCTAATAGTCACCATTCCCTGCCTACCTTTCATTGCACTTTATCAAAATCACATTGTCGGTTCCAAAGCCAAGTGCAGCCCCAGCCTTTTTTATGGAGTAGTGACTCTGCAACAGACAGAGGCTCGAGGTTAGATATTAGACAGTCCCGTGGAAAACACCACAGTCCACGAGCAAGAGCACCCGACTCACATGTTCTGAGGTGAAGAGGACCAGGTTGGGCACGGCTGCCATGCCCTTTGTCTTAACTTCTGGGAAGAACTTGTATCGCGCTGCCATGATGCTGTACATGTTGGATATGGCGCCCCCTATCAGCAAGCAGACATATTGGGTGGTGTAGCAGCTCCTTCATTACTAACAGCAAAGGCTAAGCTGGTGTCTCAAGAGACAAGGGAGGTCAGAAAGGGGGAAGGACAATATTCTGACAGGACTTGATGGCTTCCCTATTGCCAGGGCTTCCCTCTGGACCCTTTGCCCAGGGAATATGGTGGTCACACTCCTTACCAAAGCCATCTAGGCAATTTGGTTGGAGGTGCATTACGTACTCCAGTGCCTGCCCCACCTGAAGCCTAGACAGAAATTAAGAGGTGGCAGTGGCTGTAAAGAGAGAGGTGAGTGACAACTTCTCTGCTTCCCCTCTCTACTCAATCTATTTACTGAATGAAGATTAGTTTGTTCTCTGAGTCAGAAAGACAGAGAAAGAGAGAATTATGGAGCCTACTGAAGGAAATAGTGACATTGCCCGGATACCCTTCCAAGAACAGCCCAACCGAGTCATTTGGGAGAGCTCAAAGTTGATTAAAATAAAACCAAACTTGTGTTTACTTAAATAAAGACACAAGGAGAAGTCAGGTAGCTAGGTACATCTGACCAGCATTTACTAATTACTTTTGCATCAATTACCTAACAATTAAACAGGCAAATTGGCGGTTGGCTTGAATTGTTTGGACAAGTGTAATTCTTGTTTATTTCCACTTGAATACAATCATACTATCTCTGACACCATTCCAAACTCCTTCCTACCTTCCTTCCTGTCCTTTTTTTTTTTTTTTTTTTTTAAATTCTTATTGTATCCTTTGAACTAGAGATCAAAGTAGATACACTATTTTGGCAGAAATTGATTAGCCAATTGACAACCTTGATTCACTTGTCCTCAGCTTAATCAAACCATTGTTGACAAATGAATTATTTAGCATAATTTAGACACAGTCTTTCTCAGTTTGGACAGGTTTAGGCACAGCCTTTGTTGGTTAGTACACACAGAAGATAGCATTGTTGCTAGCCTTCACCGTGACAAAGATAGGAAGGCAGAGTATCCAAAAAAGTGTCTTTAAAAGTCATTATTCTTCCATGAACTCACTCTGTGGTCACTACTCTCAAAAGGGTCTAAGGATCCATACTACAAACCTGTAGGGGTGTCAGGGAAACAGAACAGAAACTTACCAGGAGAAAATATCCCATCACCATCTTTATTTGACCATCCAACTATCTCTCTCATCTTCTTAAGCGTTATTTGCTCCATGAGGACAAACACTGGAGCAATTTCATAAGTAAACCTGGAAAAGTGGTAAAAAATGAATGAAAATAAAGAAGTCAACTACTTATTTGGAGAACACAGATGACTGGTTGAATATTTGTACTTGGGATCTAAGAAAAAAAAAAAAGCGATTCAAAACCACTAAAACAATTTATTTCTTGGAAATGCATTAAGTCAACAATCATAAAATGTCAGAAACCAGCCTGTGTTACCAAAAGAGGTGGTTGAAGTGCCTGCCCTATGATTTTTCACCAACAAAATATATTCTCACCTAAATAGAATGTGTTAAGTGTGCTTCACCCACAGAAAAATAATGAAAGAAAAAATTACTTTTCTGGGTCTCTTTCACCTCTGAGATTGTAGCATAATGCAAATGTTAATGGGGGAAAAAATGTATCCTAACATTCATATAAAATTGATTTGCAACATTAAGAAAACACACACCTTGGCTGCCAATTTCTCACTTGTAGAATCTATAAAACCCAGAGCCAAACTCTATCTTCTAAAACACATTGTAAACATCTGGAAGCTAACTGTGAAGATAATTGGAAATATTGACCCAGGTTTTAAAGATCTCAATTTAATTATCTACATGGTTTGTCTACTGAGAATCCCCAAGGACAGCTATGTTGCCATAGTTCTCTGAAGTTGATATCGGTCAAGAATAATTATAAGCAATGATTTTCTAATTGCCAATTACAAATAACAAGAAGATGGTCAATTGGCATAAACAGCTAACTGTGGGCATTAGACATCCTGGTAGGTTAACTTTGTCTTCTAACAAACTGATTTAAAAGCAGTTTTTAAAAGCCATGATCTTCTCAAAGCAATTCAAAACAGGCCACAGTCTGGCAGACAAGTCACTGAAACTAAATCATGGTGCCAAGTGTAGGACTTAGGAGACATCAGAGAAGGGGAAGCCACAGAAAACTGAGCCAGAAAACAAAAAGACATTTATTGGCTCTGAGGCTCTCTTCCTTCTTTTTGCTTCACCCTCTCAAGCACTGGAGTCTGTGACCAGGCTCACTGAAGAGAGATGCCTAGATTGACTCAGCTGAGTGATATGGGGAGACTTAATCATTGGGCAGGGTGTTTGAGCTGCATGTCAATGCTCAGAACTAATGGAAATTCTTGCTGGCTTAATGATTTAGAAAAGCTATTTGCAAGGATGAGATAACAATGGTTGTATATGAGATACAGGTGAAGTTACTAAGTTTTAATCATGGGGGGAAAAAAGCTATCACATTAATCACACAGCTGTAAAAGAGGACAAAAAGATCCTGGAGGATCTTCAGGCTGTCTCTGTTGGTAGAAGAATTTTGTTTCAGAAATAAAGAGATATGTCTATTTTCCTTAGTAGGAACTTGAAATTTAGGAGGAAGACCCTTGGAAATCATGTGTTCAGTTACCATCACCTCTGGATGCTTTGGTTCTCTCTGAGCCCCATCACCGTAGCAACCAACACTCCCTCATGTCTGATGGCCTGATAAAGGAAGAAGAAGAGAAGGATTCCTGGTTTAGCCTGTGCTGCCGAGTGTACCAAGAGTCAAACTCATGATGCGCTTCTAACAATTCTTGAACAAATATACTAGTAGTGCCATTGACTTTTGGAAATGTTGGAATAGCAAACATGTTTGCATGGTGAATACTAATAGGTACTGGTGACACTGTGTGCTGGAATGTCACAATAGGCAAGGAACATGAAATCATATACAATAGTATCAGAACCTTACCTAGGATTGGATGGAAGCTGAGTTGTAGTCAAGTCAGTGTTAGATGGTCAGGCAGGAACCACATGGGAAAGGGAAAAGGGATGGGTTGAAGGCCAGGATTTGGTCCACTTCATGATTTGAATCAAGTTAGGCCCCAGGTTTAGTCTTAGAATTTGGCTTCCTACTCAAGTCCAGTACTCTCAGGACTGGAAGAAAGAGTCTAAAGAGTTTGATCATGAGTCTGTCTGATCTTATGCTTTTCAGGTTCTTTGTGCCAAGTTCTCAGTTCATAAACCTTTCTTTCAGTTTTGTTCAACAAATGCTTACTGAATGACTATTCTCTGTCAGGTAGCATCTTCCGTACTGAGGAGACAAAGATGCTATGAGACACCACTTCCAACTATGAGGAAGAAGCTTACGAGGACGAATCCAGCATAAACTATTGGCCTTAGCTGCATCCCTTTTGACAGTTCCTGCCTGGATCTTAAGGACCAGTTATTTCATAGCTACTATCATGCTTATCTTGATTATTAGTTCTGATGTCCTCTCTTGGAAGTAGAGAGGTTGGCCCATGGCTGTTGATCCTTGGCCAGGCCTGTCAAATGGGCTGACATGGTGCTCCCTGTTTCTGACATTTCTGTGACCCTGCCTTCCCACCTGGACCATCTTTATAACTGGTAGTCTGCCTGCAGCCCAAACCTTGAAGTTCACCCTACAGCAGCGATTCTTAACTTAATTGGGGCCACAGACCCCTTTAGGACTCCTCGGAAAGCTATGGACCCTCTTCCCAGGAAGAAAATGAGGAAACACATCATTTGATAAACAATTGTAAGAGATACCCCTTTTGCAAACTGGACTCCAGGTTAGGTATTCCTTCCCAAATGACAGACGAAAGAAGAGAAAGTCAAGAGATCAGAGGTCAAATATGGATTCAGAAGAAGCTGGTTAGATGCTAGAGTTAGAGTATAAGATCATATTTCAGAATCAGAGAACAAGAAACTAAACCTGCAAAAAGCTCTGAGTTGAAGCATAAGAACATGAGATTGGAAGTAAGGATATACAACAGTCATGGAGTGACAATGAAGGAGACTTCTAGGCCTTTCTATATTCTGAGTAGTCAGTCAGCCTGTGTGTGTGTGTGTGTGTGTGTGTGTGTGTGTGTGTATGTGTATGTGTATGTGTATGTGTGTGTATGTATAGTTCAACTCACCTTTCCAGAGGGATTCACCCAGAACCCAGGCAAATTGTTTAAGCCACATTTCTCTGTGGCAGAATCTGCTGGTTTCTGCCTAAAGAGAAGCTGTGGGAAATGTGTGGCACTTCTGAAGTTTCTTGGAAGGAAAGAATGTGTTCCCCTTTGACCCTTCCTCCCTCTTCCCCCCTCCCCCCAAAAAATCCTCCCTGAGGTCTGAAGCAAGGATGCCATACCAGAACTCCAGCAGCCAGCCTGCGCCATCGTGTGACTGACTCTGAGGGCATGAGCCACGTGCTACACATAGGGGTGAAAAGGGCACAAGGAATCTGGATCCCTGGTGACTGCCAAATTGGACACTTGTTTAATGAGAGAGAAAGAAATAACTTTCTACACTAACCACCTTGACACTCCTCTCTCATCTCCCCTCCTTACAGATGTGGCAGGTGGCCTACCTTCACCTTAAAAGCTAACACATCTGGGAAGGGCTTAGTGAGCCCTCTGGTGTCCACGAGGATGAGAGACAGACACAAAAGAGCCAAAAGGCTGAGGGAAGGGTGGTCTTGAATGACAACAGCAGCTGTGGCTGTCGGGTGGACTTCCTTTCCTGTGGGTGCCTGGGCCCTGCACCTTGGGTGCGCTGGGCACTTAAGGCCGGTGCCCTTTTCAGTCTTCAGAGCCACCCAGTAGGATGGATGTTATTATTCCCCACTTTCCCGAAGAAGAAAATGAGGTCCAGAGAAATTCAGTAATTTGTTTTAAGCTCTCACAGTTAGTTTCAGAGCCAGAATTCCAAGTCCTTTGTGTCACATCTGCTTTTGTAGGACCAGCGAGAACTGCTTCCTGCAGGCTCCAACACTCTGCCCAGAGTTAAAGGGACTGATAACTCCCCTGGAAAACTTCTCCTGCATGATTTCCATGAAAACAAAGCACTTGATAGCTGAAGTCCTAACTCATAACCAGGGCCGGGGATAGATCTCCCCATAAAGAGCATGTACTGTGCTCAGTTACTTGTGGGCAGGCTGCTGTTCACACTTGGGCACAGCTCCACCTGCATGGCTGTGGCTGGTGGCCCTGTTTTGGAAGGAAGGAGTTGTATGTGTACATTTGTGAAGTGTTCTTAGGCTCTTCACGGGGTCCTTGCTTGGAAGAATACAACTCCAAGATGTATGCACAGGCAAGTAGAAATGCATGGACACAAATGTTTTTTTTGTTCTAGCAGCCTTGATACCTAACACTTTGTATCCTGTGTTTGGATATTGGGCATTTTTTTTCCTTAAATATATTTTATTGATTTTTTACAGAGAGGAAGAGAGAGGGATAGAGAGTTAGAAACTTCGATGAGAGAGAATCATCGATCAGCTGCCTCTTGCACACCCCCTACTGGGGACATGCCCGCAACCAAGATACATGCCTCTGACCGGAATCAAACCTGGGACCTTTCAGTCCGCAGGCCAACGCTCTATCCACTGAGCCAAACCGGTTTTGGCTGGACATTTCTTTTTAAAAGACTCTGCTGAGGAATACAGTTACTATTTCCTGTTACCAGTGCTACCCACACTTAATGATAGCATAGTAAAATAAAATAAAAAAATGAGTGTATCACTAATTCCTACTCTGCCAAAAAAGAGCCTTTTGCTCTTCTTTCTCGGACTGATTTGAACACTGTTTCCGGGAGCACATTTCTGCACAAGCTCCCGACAGCGCTGCTACATTGCAGAATCTTCCAGGGGAACTGGCTTAGAATAATTTCTAGATAATAGTTATGCCTTCTTCAGACAAAGCCTTGTCTCCAACTGACAGGAGCTATTTCACTCTTTTAAATAACCTTCTCTATTGATCTGCTGGAACCGGATCATATTTTATGAATATCCTTTGTTCAGGACAGCTGCAATTACTATGTGCCATGTAGTCGGGCTGGCCTTGACCTCAGATGGCTGGGACATATTTTAGTGTTTCATGGCTGAGCTGAGGTAAGGGGAGACTAAGGGGCTTTGGTTTTTACGAAGCCACACAGACAAGGAGAGTTTGTGAGAACTGCCTGGTTGAAGAAAAGCCTTTCAGGAGACTATCTGGCCAATAAATAGCTCGAAGGGGTGAATTCCTTTTATTTACCTGGAGATTGGGCTATATATATTAGGAAATTACAGCTGAGTACAGAATATACACGTAAAGATGCTGGGTGAATACAGGGCCTACATTAATAAGGTTATTTAGACCTTAATAGATATGTAACTCTTATTCATTTTTCTTATTTTCCAAAAAGTTTTTTTAATACTTTTTAAAATTGATTTCAGAGAAGAAAGGAGAGGAAGAGAGAGATAGAAACATCAATGATGAGAGAGAATCCTTGATTGGCTGCCTCCTGCACGCCCCCCACTGAGGATTGAGACAGCAATCCAGCAATGTGAACTGAATCAAACTATGACCTTCTGGTTTATAGGTTGACGCTAAACCACTGAGCCACACCGAAGTTTTTTTTTTTTTAAAGCTATACTTTTTAATTAAAATTGTCCATTAGTGTAAAATGCTCTAATTAAGCATTAGAATCTTTTCAAGTTATAATGAGTATATCACGATATCTGTGCTTGCTGATACATTTTTACCTCACAAATCACAATACAGTAAAAATGTGCAAAGGCAAGACACCAGCAGTTGTTTCTTTGACCCGAATTCCTCTCTGCTCTTTGCAGCCTCAGCGATCCAACATGGACACTCTGTGACGTTAACCATGACTTGCGAGCAGGGAGCGTAAAAACCATTTTCTATTTCAATCAATTTAATCTTTTAAGCCTTTTAGCACGAAAGGCTTCACTTGTCACAGTTGCTTTAAAAAATTTGTAGTTGTTGTTTTAAGTTAGCCAACAAGGCAAGAATCTTTAATTAATAGAAACTTTTCTGAACGTAGTTAAGTATTCTGAGTAACAGCATTAAACAGTTTTGGAACGCACACGACTCAGTAATTTTAAAGTGCTCTTTCAGGTTCCACGGCTGGAAGAAAAATAGAGTGCCTTGAACTTTAACAACTTACATTCTGTCTTGATGTCTGTTGGAATTTCTCATCTTAAATAATACCACCCTTTTACCTAAATTTATTTTTCAAATCTACTTTACCATGAACTTAAAAAGTAGGTGATTATTTCCTAAATAGTTCCATAGTTACTAAAACCCATATAATTCTTCTGTAGTTGTTTTAAAACTAGAGGCCTGGTGCACAAAATTTGTGTACTGGGGGGGGGGGTCCCCTCAGCCCAACCTACACCCTCTCACAGTTCCCTGGAAGCCCTCCAGAGAGTGGGCCTAAGCTGGCAGTCAGACATTCTTAGCACTGCCGCAGAGGTGAGAGGCTCCCGCCGCCACCACTGTGCTCGCCAGCTGTGAGCCCAGCTTGTGGCTGAGCAGTGCTCCCCCTGTAGGAGTGCACTGACCACCGGGGGCAGCTCCTGCATTGAGTGTCTGCCCCCAGTGGTCAGTGCACGTCATAGCAACGGGTCATTCCGCTGTTTGGTCAATTTGCATATTAGCCTTTTATTATATAGGCTTCTTGTAAAAATTTTGTTTCATTATTTCTCCTGGATTCTATAACAGAATGTGGTGCCATTGTCTGGATGTATAGATGGTGGTAAAGCATAATCATAGTGTTGAGAGGAAAGACAGTACTCAGGAGGCTATGCTGATATTACATCAATGATCACCTGTCCTTGTCTCTGACAAGGTAATGGTTATGTAGAGGAAACTGTGAGGTGATTACCAGAAGTCGACCCAGGAAGCACATGCACCCTCCTCCCCACACAGGACCTTAGAGTTAGTTTCATATAAATGTACAAGAACTTAGAAACAAACAAAGAGTTTGCCTATTCAAACAAGTAAGGGGAAAAAGCAAATTCAGAAAAACAATGATTTTGAAAGGAATGTATCACTACCAACTGAATTTTGTTTTGGAACTTTTAGTTAACAATAGGTGGATCAAATTAGTTTGTGAATTTATGGCAGCTTTAACTATAAAGAAAATACAATGGCAATATAAGGATCAATATGCTTGGATGAGAAAATGGACCAAGATCATACTCTAAAACATGACCTCTTTAGGTACATCACTAAAATATATGGAGTTGTTTTTTTTTTAACATGAAATTCGCAGTTACTTTTGAAAACTAGAGATATTCTTTCTCATAATTATGCTCTTATTAAATTGCATTATTCAATTAAAAAATAGTTAATCTATTATCCACTATTAAATCAGTATAAACCTACTAGATTTAAAAGGGGATAAACCTAAAATACTTAAAGAGAAAAGATCACGAAGGTAACTGTAATCAATTTTTACAGAGTCATTGGATTTGAAATTTTAAAGTAAGAAGCCGTAATCATATATCATGGTTGTTTATATGAAAATAATAAGAAGGACTTACATATTGGTATTGGCAGTTGATGTCAGCCATTCACCAGCTAATCCAATGATATCCAGTCCAGTGGAGAGCTGATTGAAAAATCGAGGATGACCTAGAGAGGTTAGATAACAGGTGAGCATCAAAGCGAACCCAGATTTTTCAAGCTACCTTCACATCCACAGCTGCTCTCCCAGGCCTCTTGGATGGGGCCTCCATTCCAATGGTCTGATAGGGCTGCCCAAGGATATGGAGAAGGTTGACTCACCCTATACCAACTTTTAACATGAATGATGTCCCCCAAATTTGTACGTTTCTAAAGCATAATGCTTTTAAATAAAAAAAAATCCAATATCACGAAACTAATAATCTTTCTAATATTTTAATTTCCAGGTGAAATTCTTATTGTATTTATTTTTTTAAATATATTTTTTATTGATTTCAGAGAGGAAGGGAGAGGGAGAGAGAGATAGAAACATCAATGAAGAGAGAGAATCATTGATCAGCTGCCTCCTGCATATGCCACACTGGGGATTGAGCCTGCCACCCGCGCATGTGCCCTTGACCGGAATCGAACCCACGGCCTTTCAGTCTGTAGGCCAAAGCTCTATCCACTAAGCCAAGCCGGCTAGGGCTTGTATTTATTTTTTAAATTACAAATCAAGATGTAGTGGTCCTGATTTTCCTCATAAATGTTTCAACCTTTAAATTTTTTTGTTTTGTTAATTCTTACCCAAGGATATTTTTTTCCCATTTATTTTTAGAGAGAGTGAAGGAGGGGGGAAGGAAGGAGGGAGGAAGAGGTGAACACACCCCGACTGGGCTGGGATATGTGCCCTTCACCAGGAATCAAACTCACGACCCTTTGGTGCATGGGCCAACACACTAACCACTGGACTCAAACTCTAATGTAACATCTCAAGGATTTAATCCCCCAGTCAGGAGAGGCTGCAGCCTCAGAGAGAGTTCGTGGCTCCATGTTGCAGGAGATCTCATAGATTCTGTTGATACTGAGCAAAGCAGAGTGAAATGGGCTAGTTTAAACTATGATGCTGATACCTAGAGCATGCCATCACTCTCTGGGTCTCTGTGTCAGTCAAATATGGCATCCAGCATTGGTGTGTTTGCCTATATATAGTCACGTGAAGGTTAAACTGAATTTACCGCTGAGATGACCTGGCGTCTCCTATGTGAAACAGGGGTGGACACAGACTCATTCACTCATCGAGTTGTTAGTATAATTATTATTATTATAAAACTTTAAAGTTCTTTGCAACCGAGAGTATGCTTTCACGGGCTCTGTTCTCAGCAATTTCAGGATTGCTGCCAAGTTTTGGGCAACTTGGCATTCACGCAAAAACTCAACCCCACATCAGCAGGCTAGGCTTGGCTGTCCCAAAGGAGTCAACGCGATAGATTATCTAGAGGTACGTGATGACAGGGAACTGGTGCTAGAAAGATATGCTGACTGCTGTGTTTCCAGTGGAAATTGCTTTTGCCTCTGAAATAACTGTCAGAAAGCTAGAGTTGTTTGGTAATTCCTCCTCTAAGCCCCTCTCTCTGAGAATGTCTGTTCTTTCTCACATGTGATGGGGACTCATTCAGAACATCTGGACTGTTACCTCTTTTATTTAATATATATTTATTAAATTTATCGGCGTGACATTGGTTAACATGAACATTCAACTATTACTTCTTATTAGAATAGTCCAATCCCTGCATTTGAACAGTACTCAGAAAATAATACTGATCTTTAGAAAAAACAAAAAAAAGCATAAACATTAAGCTTAGTGTAAGTATGGGGCCAGGTTCTAGACATTTGTGTAGACTACCCTAAATAGTTTAAACTAGCCCATTTCACTCTGCTTTGCTCAGTATCAACAGAATCTGCGAGATCTCCTGCAACATAATTTTGTTGAAATTCATTTAAAAATACATGTGATATCCCTGGTGCAGTTGGTTAGAGAGTTCTCCAGTGCACCGAAGGGTTTCGGGTTTGATTCCCAGTCAGGGCATATACCCAGATTGTGGGTTCCATCCCCAGAAAGGGCACATAGTGGGGTGAGAGCAAGAGATTGATTACTTTCTCACTTCAATGTTTCTCTCTGTCTCTCTCTCCACCCCTTCCACTCTTCCTCCCTCTCTCTCATCAATGAAAAACATATCCTTGGGTGAGGATTAAAAAAATAATGAATAAATAAATACACATGTGATACACATTTGAAAACTTTTAACAACAAACCTTTCATTTTAAATAGGACTCAATCATAAATAAATTCAATCACACTATTTGACAATGTCTCAAAACCTCATGGCCTGGCAGACAAAAAAGATGGTCAAAGATAAACAGACTGACAGAAATGAACCTCAAATGAAAGTGAAACAGTATCTCATTCTCTATTAAAATATAAAGGACCCAAAAGTAAGTAAAACATTACTTTTCTCCTATGGCTATAGCCATAGGCCCCCAAAATCTTATATGAGAATTTAAATCAAGTAACAAAATGACCCAGTTTAAATTTCAATTTCAACTCTCTATAGTCAAAGAAAATAACAGATGATAGATATGGTGATGAGCTCTACACATGGCCTGGAGTCAGAGAGTGGGAGAAAAAAGTAATTTCTTAAAGTTCAAGTTTTATTTTTGAACAAATAAAACTGAAGAAAGACAAAGAGCTGGAAGGGAAAATCTACTCTGAGTGTGAGACATATCAAACAATTACACTTATTTGGTTTCTGACCTGAATGTATGATAACAAAACAAAACATTTCTGACTTTCATGAGACATTAAAAACTTGAACACTGATTGAATATTTGATATTAAGGAACTATAAATTTTGTGGGGTTTTTGGATATAATAATGATATGTGATTATTTTTGTTTAAAGAGCCCCTGATGGTGAAAAACATCTAAAATATTAAAAGAGTAATATGCTAATTAGACCGGGAGATCTCCCAGACATTCTTCCGGACAAAACTGGGGGCTTGGCGGGCCTACAAATCACCCCAAATGGCCCTCAGCTCCTTGCCCAGGCCGGCCACGCCATCCAGCAGGGACCCTCACCCCAATGGGGATCCTCACCCTGATGGGGGCATGGCCAGTCTGCAAACTGCCATAAGCCCCTCACCCAGGCCGGACACACACCCCTCACAGGGACCTCACCCCAATGGGGGCATGGCCAGCCTGAAAACAGCCATCAGCTCCTTGCCCAGGTTGGCCATGCCCCTCCCCTCCCCCGTGGGAACCCCCACACTGATCCAGGACCCCCTTCAGGGCAGACCAGCCACCCCCTACCCATGCACCAGGCCTCTATACTAATAAAAGGGTAATATGCTAATTAGACTGGGAGACCTTTTGGATGTCCTTCTGGACAAATCCATGGTGGCAGGGCAGAGGCAGAGACAGTTAGGGGCAGTCAGCTGGCAGGGGAGGGCAGTTGGGGGTGATCAGGCTGGCAGGGGAGGGAAGTAAGTGGGTGAGAGCAGTGGCTGCCAGCCCCGATCATCCCTGAGGGCTTTTCCACCTCCCCCTGCTCCTGAGGGGTGATCAGGGCAGCAGTGGGTGTGAGCAGGCCCAGTGATGTCAGCACATAGGAGTGGTGCGGCAAGAGCCGGGCTGCCCAGCAGATGGGGGACTGGGAGCCGTGGTAGGAGGGACTGAACAGAGGTGCAGAGGATGGACTGAGACCCACCCCTGTGCCCACCACAGCCTCACAGCCCACAGTTCCTTTCAAGGTGCACGAATTTGTGCACTGGGCCCCTAGGTTATAGATAAAATAATATTATGTCAGGGATGTACTTTCATATAATATAGAAGAGGGGACAATGGGCAGAGGGACAGATTAACAAAATTGGCAGGAGCTGATAATAGTTGAAGCTGGGTGTTAGGTATACAGGGCTCATTATACTATTCTACTTTTGTATAAGTTTATAATTTTTCATAATAAAAAGTTAAAAAGAAAAATTAAGGAAGTCAACATATTTAATGTGACTGAGGGCTGGTTAGCATCTGTCTCATTTCATGGACAATCTACATATACTGGTCTTTTTTTCAGAAGTTTTTTATTAATTTGTAGAGAAATCTCCAAATGCCATCATCACCCTTCACAACATGTACCCAGAGCAGCATGTCTTCACTATTAAAACCCAATTCATGCCCTGTCTGATGTGGCCCAGTGGGTTGAGCATTATCCCATACACTGAAGGGTTGCCAGTTCAATTCCTGGAGGGGCATGCAGGAGGCAGCCGATCCATGTTTTTGCTCTCACATCAATGTTTCTCTCTCTCCCTTCCTCTCTCTCTAAAAATTAATTAAAATAAAAAAAAACAACAACACCCAGAACCCCAATTCATTATTTTAGCAGAGCATTAATATCCTTTTTAAAAGAATAAATACCTTCTACTGTGTGTAGCTACTTGTGGGGTTTGCACTGTTACTTTGATATCTACCTCTATGTTTGAGAGCAGCATCCAGAAGCTGTTTTCACATGGCAGCCACAGTACACTTTGCCAGGGTCAGTACCCTGAGATTCAGCAGAAGGCTTCACACTGCCTGGAAGATAGTAAACTCTATAGATGCAAATACCTATTCCCAGAAGCAGCTCTGAAGAACAGGGATGAATGGCTGCAGGGTGGATATCTAAGTGAATTCATACACTGAGCTAATAAGAGTCCATGCTTCAGAGCCCAGAAATAAACCCACATCTATACGGTCCAATAATATATGACAAAGGAGGCGACAACACACAATGGGGCAAAGGCAGCCTATTCAATATATGGTGTTGGGAAAACTGGGCAGATACATGCAAAAAAGTGAAACTAGGCCACCTTCTTATATCATATACAAGGATAAACTTCAAATGGATTAAAAACTTAAATATAAGACTCGAAACCATAAATCTTCTAGAAGAAAACATAGGCAGAAAAACCTCTGACAGTTCTCTTAGCAGTATTTTTTCTGACATATCTTTTTGGGCAAGGGAAACAAAAGAAAAAGAAATAAATGGGACTACATCAAACTAAAAAGTTTTTGCACAGCAAAGGAAAACCATCAACAAAATGAAAAGACAACCTACAGGAGATACATTCAATAAGGGGTTCATATCTATCATTTATACAGAACTCATACAATTCAACACCAAAAACCCCAAACAATCCAATTGAGCATTGGGCAGTGTACCTGAATAGAGAAGTCTCCAAGAGGATATACAGATGGCCAATAGACATAGGAAAAGATGCTCAACATCACTAATCAGCAGAGAAATGCAAATTAAAACCACTGTGAGGTAACGTGTCACCTCTGCCAGAATGGCTATCATCAATAAATCCACAAACAACAAGTGCTGGTGAGGCTGTGGAGAAAAGGCAACCCTTGAGCACTGCTGGTGGGAGTGCAGACTGGTGCAGCCACTGTGGAGAACAATATGGCGGGTCCTGAAAAATTAAAAATGGAACTGCCCCAGGACCTAGCAATTCCACTTCTGGGTATATACCCAAAGAAACTTAAAACACGAATTCTAAAAACTATATGCACCCCTATGTTCATTACAGCATTATTTACAATAGCCAAGGCATGGAAGCAACCCAAGTGCCCATCAATAGACAAGTGGATAAAGGAGTGTGGTATGGATATATAATGGAATATTACTTGGCCATAAAAAAAACAATGAAATCTTACCATTTGCTACAGCATGGATGGACCTAGAGGATATTATGCTAAGTGAAATAAGTTAGACAAAGACAAATACCATATGTTTTCACTTATAGGTGAAATCTAAAGAACAAAGTAAATGAACAGACACAATAAAAACAGACTCATGCATACAGAGAATGGACTGATGATTGCAAGAGGGTAAGGGGAGAGGGCTGGGTGAAAAAGGTGGGGGAATTGAGAAGTACATATTGATAATTACAGAATAGCCATGAGGATATAAAGTACAGCTTAGGGAATATAGTCAATAACATTTAATAACTATGTACATTGCCAGGTGGGTACTGGAAAAATCAGGGGAACTATTGTGTAAAGCAAGCATGTCAAACTCGTGGGCTACAGGCCTCACATCTCATTTATATGGCTGTTAGCCTTTGAGTTTGACATGTTCGGTGTATAATTATCTGGCCATTATGCTATACTTAAATTAATTCAAAATAATATTAAATATAAATTATAATTGAAAAATAAAATTTTAAAAAGGAGACTATGATGCTTCAGTTTTATCATCAATAGGGGTTGCCATTATGACAAATCCATGTATTTTTCTTTAGGGTCAACACTATTTAGGCTTTACTGATAAAAGTATGTGGTCTCGCCGAAACCGGTTTGGCTCAGTGGTAGAGCGTCGGTCTGCGGACTGGTCCCAGGTTCGATTCCAGTCAAGGGCATGTACTTTGGTTGCGGGCACATCCCCGGTAGGGGGTGTGCAGAGGAGCTGGTCGATGTTTCTCTCTCATTGATGTTTCTAGCTTTCTATCTCTCTCCCTTCCTCTCTGTAAAAAATCAATAAAATATATATATTAAAAAAAAAAGTATGTGGTCTCATCTCTCTGAGAAAGTATATTTAGAATGAGCTGACAAAATAAAAAATGTTGGCTCAAAGCAAGTCAAGCTAAAATATACATGGAGAGAGAATTGGGACTTTTTTAATGCAGCCAAATAACACTACTTAATTTCCATCAGAAATGGGTTAGCCATTAGATACCAAGGTGAGATGTAACTAAATTGATGAGTGTGCTTTTCTTTAAAAATGAAACAGACTTCGTAATATAATTGAGTCGTGTCTACCCTATAGATATTCAAGGAAGCTACACTTATCCTAGTGGTGTTGGCAGACCTCAAAAGCTGTTTGGGATTCTTTATTTAAAAATGCTTCTTTGGCCAGCTTCATTATTTCATTTTAACACTTTGTTTTTGACATCTAATAGCCTTACTCAGCTCTATCTCTACCAACTTTTCCAGTCATACTTTCACACGACTCGGAAGAGTAAGAGGAATAATGAGAGAACAAGCAAAAAAGAAGAAAAAACAAGAGGCTACCAGTTGTGGTCTCAAAAGCTCCCCATAAGTTGGCAACTATACCATGAATTGCCAATTCTTGTAGATCTATCTGCCCAAGAGCTCAGGCTGCAGTGGGGAAAGATAGCAGAGAGAGGAAATCGCTGCTTCACTCTCAGGCTTTGGCATAGACAGGCAGAAATCCAAAAAGTCCTTGAACTCGAAGCAACCGAAAAGTAACCACTTTGGCCAGGATTGCCAATTACAGAGGGTTCGTTCCTGCAACATGAAAAGGAGGCAAGAGGGGATCCTCCAGGGCTTCCTGTTAAGAAGGAAGTTGGCGATTTAGGATGTCTGAACTCCAGAGGTAGCTCTAGCTGATTTGGCTCAGCGGATAGAGCATTGGCCTGTGGATTGAAGGGTCCCAGGTTCAGTTCTGGTCAAGGACATGTATTTGGTTGCAGGCTCATGTGAGAGGCAACCAATTAATGTGTCTCTCTTATATCGATATTTCCCTGTCTCCCCCCCCCTCACTTCCACTCCAGGAATCAATGGAAAATATCCTCAGGTGAGGGTTAAATAAATAAATCTCTAGAGACTCTTTAGAAAAATAAAGTTTTAAACACCAGAGGTAGGAAGAGAATTTGAAGTGTGTGTGTGTGTGTGTGTGTGTGTGTGTGTGTGTGTGTGTGTGTGAGACTTTTTGGTCTAACCAATAGAAGGAATTGTGGGTTAAATTGTGTGCCTTAAAAAGATATGCTCAAGTGTTTATTCCTGGTGAGTGAATATTTGGAAATAGGTTCTTTGCAAATGTAATCAAGCTAAGATGAGGTCATAATGGATTATGATGGGCCCTAGACCGAAGATTGGTGTCCTTATAAGAATAAATTTTAAAAATATATATTTTATTGATTTTTAGAGGGGAAGGGAGTGGGAGGGAGAGAGAGATAGAGAGAGATAGAAACTTCAATGATGAGAGAGAATCATTGATTGGCTGCATCCTCCATGCCCCTTATTGGGGATTGAGCCTGCAATCCAGGCATGTGTCTTTGGCTGGAATTGACCCTGGAACCCTTCAGTACGCAGGCTGACACTCTATCCATTCAGCCAAACCACTTATGGCAAGAAGAAATTTTGACACATACACAGGGAGAATGCTATGTGAAGGTGAAGGCAAAGACTGGAGTGATGCATCTACATGCCAGGGAATACCCACAACCACCAGAAATTGGAAGAGGCACGGATGGATCCTTCAGAGAGAGCAGGGCGCTGCAGACACCTTGATTTCACACTTCTAGCCTCCAGAACTGACAGAGAATAAGTGTCTGCTGTTTTATTCACCCAGTTTGAGGTAATTTGTTGTGGCAGCCTTAGGACATGAATATAAAAAGGAAGAGAAATTGGCCCAATTCTCCCCAGTCTCATGGACAGGAAAGAGTAGGATTTATCAGAATGAAATAGCCATGAAAATGGATCCTTCTGCTCTCTTTAGGTTGTGAGTAGCTTAAAACCAAGAATGAAAACTTTATACTGAAGTTGACAGAGTACTGGATACTGTTTATCTTTTTAAATCTACTTCTACAACAATAAATGACGATGGGCCTTTGCCAGGGTTGGGGCTTTCCATTAACTGTCGCTGCCTAACGGGGCTGTGTGGTCACTGAGCATTTTGCTGCCTTCCCTCACTAGGTCTGTTTCTCCTTCCACAGAAGTTTGACATCCTCACAACTGGAGAGGGTGTGGTGTAGGGCAAGCTTGCTGCTGCATGTCCACCGGACTCCCATCCTTACCTGTGCGGACCCCGTACTTGAGGGTATCTCTGCAGTCCACCAGAATCTGCTCCAGGGACTCAGGTTGGTCAGAGAGCTCCAGGTTGAAGCCCTCCATGCCCTCCAGCAGCTGGTGTGGGTGATGGAAGTCCAGCACCTTAGTGGAGCGATCAAATGTCTTACGGACATAGGTGAGGAGGATGTCCACCACCTCCAGCAGGAATTGCACAGTTTGCTCCTCCCCGTTCTTAGCTGGAAGCAGATCTGGGGAGGGGAGAGGGAAGCCAATGAGTGGTGATCACCTGACTCTTAGCTGCCTTTCCTAGGCCCAGAAATTCCTGACATCAGCCATGATAGCTGTTAGAGGCCCAATTTCACTCCAGGATATGTATACACATTGAGAATCTGATGTATCATCTTCCCAGAAAATCACACGTAAACATGTACACAGACGTTCTGCACACCCTTTCTGGGGGGCCGCAGACTTTCTGATAGTTAGGCTGCTCGTAAATGAAATGGAGAGCTTTGAGCAATTTGAGAAGCTGGGAGCACCCTGCCATTTGCAGGCTGAATGAACATCTGTCAGGTTTGTGATGGAGGCGGCTTCTGTCTTGCCCCCCTGGAACTAGGCGCGTCCCTATACATCTGATTCAGACATTGGGCTTTTGACTCAGTGTCATGATGTGCTTGATCTGTTGATGGCAGAGGGTCAGGCCTCTGTGGGTAAAGGCTAAGGTCTCCCCTGAAGAGTGTAGTCCTTTATGTTGTCCTTAGACAGAAAACTAGAACTAGAAAATGGAACTCAGGAAGGTGAGTGGTGTGATGCTCTGTGTCTGTTCCCTGGATTATCCCTGAGGTTTAATCAAGTCTCATTTCTGTTCTGGTCTGGCCTCTCCTGGTTATGGGGAGTTAATGGATGAGGCGGTGGTGGGTTTACTTTGGAGATGTTTGGGAGAGAGATACTGGGAAAGCACCTCCTGAGATCCCTGGTGTGGGCGCAACAGTAAATAATGAAAGGTCTCCAAAAGAAAAATGAGTTTTGGGACAGCATTTAGGCTCTGGGTCTAGCCACACAGCTTCCCACAGGGTGATTTGGTTCTTACTGTTGTTGCCAACCTTGGAGGATAAATGCTATTAAGGGAATTACCAGATTTCCTTATATGAGACATTTCTTTGGATTCTACATTCTAGGACTCCATACTAATCCTTGAAAGTATTGACTATCCTCATCCAGCTACCAAAGCAATAAAGACTGGGCACTAAGGAAAGGGATTCAAATGTTGAAGAAGCAATGACATTTTTGGTAAACGAAGGAAAATTTTAGGAAAAAGTCAAGAAACGCAATAGAACCTATTGGACAGCTCTAGGGCTGGGGAAATGGGGGTGAGGGAGGGGTGGGGAGGTATTACCTCGAGCAAACAGGTTGGAGAAATCGGTCTCGGTGCGCCTGAAGTGGCCATCCCTGTCGCTGTTCTCACAGGAAATCAGGTTCTTGGAGGCCTGCCTGTCCTTGAAGGCGCTCACCAGCCGGCTCTTCTCTTCCAGGCTGTTGGTCCTTTGCAAGAAGCCTGTAGCGCAAGAAGCTGGGTCAGAGATGGCGCCCTGCACTGCAGCCTCAGAGGGTCAGCTGCTGAGCTGGGCTGACAGTGCAAGCAGGGTCCTCGCTTCTCCAGAGAAGCTGTCTGCATTTCCTATAGAAGGGCTCTGGCACGGCTTGCCTTCGGGCGGGGAAGGGGCAGTGCCAAGTGTCATCAGTGGCACAGACCCAGTCATGCAAGAGAGAAAAACAGTGAGCAAAGCCCATTCTCATCTCCGAACTTGACAGCGGACTCAGAATTAAGTCAACTGGACAGCTTCCACTCCAGTAACCAGCCCCAGGATGGGGTCTTAAGGGAAGGACACAATCCAAGAGGATACTGCCAGCCCGGGGTCTATGGGCTGTGCAGCCGAGGGAGGGGGTGAGGACCAGCAGCGGGGACTAGGGGAGAGGCTTTCTTCAGCCACCAGGTACAGCTCACAGGTGGAATGTAAGTGTACTAGTTCCGAAGACAAAGGGACAGACGCCCACCCTCCAGGAGCTTACCGTGAGGCAGATGGCAGCCAGTGTTGTAATAAAGCTAGAAAGACACCAAGAACTCCAGGGTGATAGAGTCTGAGCCCAGGGTGGGATCCAAAGCGCCTCGCCTCTGCCCCTCAGCGGGAATGGATCTCTCTCAGAGAAGCAGGCGGAGCCAAAAGGGCTGGAGACTCTCCCCACATCCCCTGGAGGCTCGGGGCCTGCAGGCCCCCTCCTCCCCTCAGGATCCCCTCCAATGCAGCCTCAAGCTTAGTCCTTGGCCTGAAATGCACCGTACTGAGAAGAGGAAGAGAGTTCTGAGCTTCTTGGTGACCCCAGAGCTGTCTTTGTAGATAACCAAGATCCTTGGGGAATGGCTTACATCACGAGGGAGGCTGGGAGCAAAGTCCCAGGAGGGTCGGGAAGAGGCACGTTAAGCTGAGGAATTCCGCTTTACTTCCCCAGGGCTGCGATTCAGCGGTGCTGGGTGGAGGAAGGAGGATGCAGGGGGAAGGCTGGCTGGCTGGAGTCCTCCCACACACAGGAGAAGGGAATGTTTTTGGAGGGAGGAACTGGAAGGCAGAGGCACCAGGCCCTCCATTGTTCCCAGCATCTTGTAAACTTACTGAGGAAGCCAGAAAGGGACACCAGAGGAGGAGAAACACACACTGGAGTGACTTTCGACGGGTGTGCCACTGGATCCTTAACACATGCCATACCTGGCAATTTAGTCAGGGGCGTGCACCTATTTCCCCTTAGATTGTCAAGTTAAAAAATGACAACAGCCAACACAACAATAGCCATCCAGTGTGAATGAATCAAAATTATACTTTTTTTTTTTTTTTTTTTGCAGACCAGCAAAAAAATATATTTTCTGGAGTGCCACAGAATTTCAGTAATTAGCTTATGTGTGCTATGAGATGACAAAGGTTGAAAAATCACTGTACTGTATAACAGAGCTCTATACTTGGGTATAAATTGGGGTCTTATCTTTTCCCTCACCTCTTTTCCTACATTCTGAATTCCTCCTCCAAATCCCCAAAGTTCAAAACCAGGAGCCAGCACTCATTTGCCAGAGAGATGCAGGGTAGCCTGGCTCCTGAAGTCAGTGCCTGCTGCCTGGCCCCCAGAACAGGGAGCTGTGGAATCTGCCAGGCTAAAAAGACCCAATCCCCGTGGCAGAATGGAGGTGAGGCCCTGCCCGCTGAAACCCTACTCTGAGGCCCTTAACCTCTAGTTGGCTCTGACCCACTCCGGTAAAAGCCTCAAGTCTCTGCACCTGAAACTCTCAAAAACCCCTTTTCTCTGGGCAGCTGCAGGACCGAGGACCTCCACGTGCGCTTTGAATATTATCTCTAAATCTCAAAGGTGTCCTGATGGGGTTGAGGTGGCAACTGTGACACAACTTCAAACCTGCATCCCATTCCTGGACCACACTCCCTGGAGGGCACCAGGAATTCATATTTTCTATAAGTCCCGTTAGTGGTCTTCTGACTAGCACACTTACACTGCATTATATTTTGTGGCAAAAACCATTAATCTGACGATATAAACACTTAATGTATATTATTAGGATAATGATTTCTTGGAAGGTATTTGTTTTCTGAAACACTGGGACCCTCGCTGGGCTCTGAGAAGCTCTGGAAGGAGCTCTGAGCTTCTGCAAGGATGACCAGGTGGCGGGTCACATTGAGGTCAGTGTGTTGACAACTTCCCTGCCTAGCAAGGAGTCCGGAGACCGAGGTAGACTGCATTCCCTCTTGCTCTACACCCGGCTGTGAGGACTTAGTGTGAAGTAACCCAGCTCAACATTAAGAGGCAAAGAGGCGAAACAGTGAAAGACAAAGCCGTAGGTGGCTCTGGTCAGGTTGCAGCACTCTGGCTAGCTTCAAGCTGAGGACGCCAGGTGAGCCCTGTCAGGACTCCACCTTTGGTTCTGGGGAGATCCTGCTGCTGGTTCCTCATGCTGACACCAAATGCAAGGGTCTAGATGGCCCAGTGAGTGGGGGAGGGGGAGGGGTGAGAGTGTGGGAACTAAGGGGTACCTGACAGGAGCCAGGTGTTTCCAAGTGGGGCTGCGAGTGCACAGGGCATAAAAGCACATGGCCACGCTGGCCACTGGGGTCTGAAGCCCAACAGCTGTTTGCCTCCCCAGCTGTAGCTTGGAACCACATTTAACTAGAGGAAGGAACTCTTGTTCTGATTTCTATGGGCTAAAAGTACCCTGCCAGATCTCTTCTCTCCCCCCTTCCCACCCCCAGCACTCACACCTTTCATTGTATTTCAAGAGAAGCCAAAAATACAGAATATTGGAAGTCTCTGTATGTTTAAAAGTTGGCATCTAACACACAATTAAACATACACACAGAAAGACACCCACACTGCACAGGCTAAATAAGAGCACAGAGGCTGTTACTGGTAGCCTGGCCCAGGGTCTCTGCAGAGATAAGTGATGGAGACACAGGACACCGGCTCAGCAGAGCCCAGAGTCAGAACTTCAGCTTGCTGCATCTCCTCTTTCCATCGTGTCACCATGCCTGTAGCCACCCTAACCTCTACCTTGACAAGACCTGGGTTTCTTCTGATTACTGCCCCAGGGGATTCTGCCTCCAGAGCTAAGGTACCTCTGGTGAGTCCCAGGTCTTCCTTGCAGGCTCATTCCTGGGGGTTCCCTGGAAGGGGGGGGGGGTAGAGAGTGGGTGGGGGTGGCAACTTGGCAAGGCACTGAAGAAGTTGGGGTGGGGGAGGCAGGGCAGTGAATTAGGAGGTGGGAAGAGGATCATTAGTCTCTCTGCTATTTTAAGGTGAAAGATCAAACCAACCCCAAATGGTGACAGGTTAAGAGGGCAACCTTGAGGCCACAGAAAATCTGGAATGAAGGGAGTGGAGGTGTCTATGTGGGGGGAGGGGAAGGGGCCGTGGATTCAGGTCAGAACTAAATGCCTCCGCGAGATGAAATTGGAAAGCCCGAGTTGGCCCAGCATATGGAAAAGACGTTCTGGACCCTGGTGTTCTCTTTGCGTTCAGAATCAAACCTCATGTGAAGCCTCCTAACCGGTGGCCCCAAAAGCATGCATTTTAGCAGAAGGCAATTTCCCCTTAACGACTACCAGCCCTGTCCACCTCAGGTGGGTTTCCACTTCCCTGAAATTACCGTTGGGGGCGGGGGAAAGGGGGGTAGAAATGGAAAGGAGCTTAGGATGGTGGCCCCCCAAAATGCCCAAGAGCTTTCCCTCAGGCGAAGTTGATGCAAACTCGGGGGCCTCTATTCCTGGACCCAAAGAAGCTCCTTTACCCAAAGGGCCGTTTAGACCTTTTCCTGCAGACTCGAAGGGCCGGCAGACCCGGGCCGAGGCCGGGAGGCGGGGACTGGGATGGACAAGGCTGCCCACCGGGCCGGCCCGGACCGCGGGGAAGGCGGCCCTTTCCCCAGGCCTCTCCCACGATGCCCACAGTTCTGCTCGCCCGACCGACCGCTGACAATGATGGCGGCTGAGCCCGTGCCTCGCCGAGGGGACCCGGGCGGAGCGGGCCATTAAGCCGGGACGGCGGCGGGGGAGGAGCGGCTATTTATAGAACAAAGCCCGCCGCCGCCAGCTGCGCGCCCTGACCGGCCCCGCCTCGCCCCGCCGACCCAGCGCCGGGGAGAGGGCCAACCCCCGGGGCTGGGCTTCCCCTGGAGAACGGCCAGGCCTGGGGCTGAGCAACCCTTCCTCCCGGGGTCCAGGGGGCAGGGCCCAGGAACGCGGGGCGGGCGCCGCGGGGACTCGAGGGGGTGCGGAGACGCTGCCATCAATAACCCGCTGCCGCCGCCGCTGCCGGGGGCCCGGGGCGCAGCGGAGCCCGGGGACCGGCCCAGCGCGCGGCCGCTGCTCCCCCTCCCCGCCGGCGGCCCGCTATCTCCGCGGGCAGCGCTGATGGATGGCTCCGTAATGAGCCCCTCGTCCATCTCCCCGCGCCTCGCCGCCCCTGCCCTGCCCGGGGAAGCCCGCGTTTTCTGGCCCGATAAGGCTAACGACTGTAGACGGTGAATGGTAGCGAGGAAAGCAGATTCTCATTGTTCAGCCGGAGCCACTCGGCTGTGTCCCTTCGAACAATCTCCTTTTTTCCTTAAAAAAAAAAAAATCCCTTGGGCGTTTTCATTTCAGACCTCCACGTCTCCAGAGAGCTGTTCTTTCTCCTCTCCGGTTCCCAGATCTATTTTCCTTTCTCCCTGGCAAACTGCACCCGGCTCCCCCGTCCCCTCTCGAGGCCCCCGCCCTCGCCTGCCCCTCCCCCCTCTTCCCTTCTCCACGCCAAGGGCAAGCTCGGCGGCACACCCGCAGGTCCGTCCCGGGCAGGGCGCCGCGGGCCGCGGGCCATCCTTTCTCCTGCCCTCCGAGGCCCCCGAGAACGAAATCTGGATGTTGTGGCGTCTCGGGGCAGACCTCTCCAGCCGGAGAGGCCGCTTTCCATGCACGATGCACAGAGGGGAAGGGGGAGTGTCTGCCGGGTGAGGCCCGCACCGGTCACCTTTCCCGCACGACCTTCTGGACGCGCGGGCGGGCGGGCGGGCGGAGCGCCGGGGCCGGGCGGCCTGGGCGCCGGGCGGCCACGCGGGGGCGCTGTGCTCACGCGCTCGCACCCAGACGCGCGGAGGGCGGCCCGCGGTCACGGGCGTCCGGAAAGGTCCCTCCAGGCCAGGCCAGGTGAGGGGCAGGCAGGGGAGAGTCCAGGCCTGTGGGCCGCATCCCCGCGCGCCTCAGGGCTGTGAGTACCAGAGCCAACAGCCAGGAGCCCCTTCCGAGCGCACCCCTCTCCTAAACCCGCGAACCTCTTCACTTACCGCAGATCTTGAGCCCCAGTTTTTTGGTGCATCCATGGGCCACGCCACACCAGGTGTCATACGCTGGAAAGCAAGAGAGGGGCGGTCAGTGAGGCCTGGACCGCGGGAGGCCGGGCCGAGGGCAAAGGCTTTTCTGAGGAAGGTGGGGCAGGGCTCTACAATGGCAGATGCTCCTCAGTCAAAGCTCGTTCCCAAAAGGACCGCGGAGCGGGGGTGTGGGCAGACGGGAACACTTGTGTCCTGCTCCTACTTCCGGGTGCAGAGCTGAGGAGGGGCCGAGGCGGGTGGGAGCCGGGTAGGCTGATCCCGAGAGCAAAGGGCCAGCCCCGCAGCTCCAATTGCACGGTGCCCACCCACCTGGCCTCGCAGCTCCAATTGCCCCGTGCCCACCACCTGCCCGGCCCGGCCCGGCTCTGGGTCTCCGCCCCAAAGGCGACCACAGCGGCCCGGAAAGGGAACACAGAGCATCTGGGACCAACACATCTCATCATTTCTTGGCGGGTCTCCAGCCGAGTGGCAGCTTAAAATAAACTGGCATGAAATGGGGTCGCGAATGAGTTCAGGAATTAATTGGGTGAAAAATAGTATTTGAGTAGATGATCGGACTCGCTCGACTGCTCTTCTGTCTGACAGGGGAGCCGGGAAGACAATAGCGCCCATCGGGTCCTCATCCCGGGACCCCTCTCCCCAACCTGCCCCTCATTAACCCTCCCTCCACATCTGGGGTCTGGAGATAGCGACAGGAACCCGGCCCTGTCCTCCGGGTCACACCTGACCCAGACCCAGGAGGCTCGGTTTTATCAGATTCCTCAAGGCCTACCCTGCTCTCGGTTTCGACTCCCAGCCAGCAGCACCAGGACGCTGTGAATTCCCTTCGGATCCTTCAGAGCCAGACTCCTCCAATCACTCCCACTCCGCCCCGCCCTGACCGGTGCCTGCAGCCCCGCACGGGTGTAGACCACGACCAGGCAGGGACATCCACCAAACCAAGGCACAGCGGAGCCCCAGCGAGGGGAAGAAACCGCCCCCGTCCTCGAGGCAGCCCGTCACAGACGGGGCTCCTGCAACAAACATGGACTCGGGGCCAAAGTCAAACCCTAATAATACCTGGCAGGTAACAGGCTGATCAAGCGCTCTCCCCTTTAAACGCCGCAGCTAATTTTCCTAGGAGGAGCTCATCTAAGCCCCATTTTACACGTAAAAGCACCGACGCTCCAAGAGGCCGAGGGAGCATTTGCCAAGGTCAGGCAGCTGGGGCGTTGGAGTTCAGACCTAGGACTCCGTCTTTCAGAATTGGGAATAGCAGTAAGAGAAAAGGGAAAGGGAGATAGGGGACATGAGAGAGCCTCTTTGATGCAGCAAGTGGCGGAAAGCAAGGAGGAGGGGTGGTTGGGGCGAGGAGGTGAGTATTGGGGTGCAGGTCCAGCAAGCTCCTCTCAGGAGCTCCTGCAGGGGCTGAGGGTGAGCCAGCGGGGGCGGGCGAGGACGTGTCTGCTAGGAGGTGGAGAGTGGAGAGAGCCCAGCGTGCAGTCTGGGATGCCCACGCCACAGCTGGGTTGCTGGGGGCCCTCGGCTGACAGGTGCATGCACTTCCTGGCGGAATCTTCTATTTTCCCTCTACCTCTGCATATTACAGTCACGCTAGAGCTTCTCCTGGGGTTCGGACCCAGGCTGGGCACATGCAACTCAACTAACTGCTGGCTGCAGCCCGAAGGGAAGTAGGAGCTCACCATTAAAGGTGGGGGTGCAGGACTCAAGGGTGGAAGAACACAAGGGCCCCCCAGCAGGAAGGGTGGAGAGGACTGGAAAAGGAATCCATCAAGGCCAGAGCAGCAGACAAAGGCCCGTGGCCTCTCTTTCCTCTCGGGCTGCTCTGGCCAGCTCCTCCATCAGTGCCAGACTCACGTGCCACCAGGGCTGGCGGTCCTCCCGAGCCCCTCTTTGTTTTGTGGGTAATTGTAGCTCGCCTGGGGGGCGGGGTGGGGAGAGGGAGCTGCAAAGGGAGTGAGAACGCAGCCTAACAGACAAGGCCGCCAGCCCTAGGAGCCAATGGAAACACTAAGGGGATGGAGAGGGGGCTTTACCCCATAACATCCCCCATCTTCATTGGTGGAAACCACCACCGTTTCCTTGAGCTTATAGAAAGTGTAATAAAAGCGCAGTAATAAGCCCTCTTAAGGACTCCGCCATCCCTAAGGCTCTCTTTTATAGAAAATTTGGGGCTGTTACTATCTGGAGCTGATGGATTTGGGGATGACACATTTTAGTCCCAATTGGAAAAAGAAAAACAATTCTCTCATTCCTGTGCCTCTACAGAAAACTGGGATATCAACCTGAATGAAAGGCGTTCTGGAATGGATTGAAGAACTAGGAGTGGGGGACCATAAATTACCACCACCATCACCCCATCACCACCCCCACCATCACCCCGCCGGCGCCTCTGCCCTTGAACTGGTTCCCCTTTCTTCCTCTCTCTTCAGGACAGCCAATTGCAGACAGGTCTCCCGCCCGGAGAAAAGAGAGCGTTGCTCCCCCCTCCCGCGCTGGCAAACCTTCTGGCCTTCTGGTTCGACAGCTCTCAGGACGCTGCCCAACCCTTTTATTTATTTTTTTCCGTCTCTGAGATGTAATTAATTGTCTAAAATGTTCACGCTCAACCTCAAACCATTTTATGCACCTTTCTTGCCTTTGACTTCTCCCTCACTCGTCAATAGCTAGAGGCAAATTTGGAGCAATTAGGGATCCCGAGTTTTCTAAAAGCTGCAATTAACACGTTTCAGCTGATTGTAGACTTTGAGCACAGCGCGCGGGGAAGGGAGGAGGGGTCAATCTCGGCTTAACGAAAACCGGGGACAGAAAGCTCTGTTCCAGCTGAGACTCCCGCCTGCTCACACCGCCCCCTGCACTGACCCCCGACGTCCCACCAAGCAAAGAAACCACACACCACACCACAGCACAGCACAACACAACACAACAAAACCAACAGTCTCCCGGCCCATCCCTCTCTCCCAGCGAAGCCCTCAATAATCGCTGCCTCTCGGACACTGCGTGGTCGCCCTTGTCCAGCGCCTCCCAATCGCCTAACAGCCCAGTCAGCTGGTGACCTCTGGCCAGGACCGGATCAGGGCCCCATTTCTCTCCAGCCTCCTTCATGGCGCTTCCCCTTCCTTTCCTCCTCACCTCCCTGCACCTCATCTTCCCTGCACTGATTTGGTAGGAACCTGGGGTGGAGGGGGTAGGACCTACTTGTGGGACGCAGGTTGGCAGTATTGGGGTCCGCTCCCGCGGTGGAGGAGGCAGCCGATGAAGAAGGGGTCGAAGACGCCATCGCCTCGGTCGTCCCGGGGCCTCTGCTGCCCGGGTCCTCGGCCCGCCAGGCGCAGGAACAGGCTGTAAAGAGAAGCGATAGCGGTGCGGGGAGGGCTTGCGGGGTCGGGCGCACAGGAGGCGGCTGAGCGCCCGGGGGCGCGGACTTCAGACCCCGCCGAGGGAAGGATGCTAGTCGCCTGGGAACGGGGGTGTAGGGGATGAGGGGGAACAGGCGCGGGAACTCCGACTCCCGGCCGGGCCGCGTAGCTCCGGGCAGCTCTCCGGTCTGGAGTAGCAGCGGGGCGCCCTGGAGCGCAGTGCTGAGACCAAGGCCACGGCAGGACGCAGGGTGCGGGCCTGGGCTAGAGGGCACGGCAGGCTCGGGGTGCGATTTCCCAGCCTAGCCGTGACAAGCCCCATTGGGTTCTCAGCTGCCGGAGGGCGGGAGGGCGGGAGTGGTGGGGGGGAGCGGCGCGCGGGGCGGGCACGTCTGGTTCGATGTCTGATTCCCGTTGTTGTGTCTGGCTAATTCCCTGGAAAGAAAGAGGCGAGCTGCTCTGGAAACCGATGACTTTGGTGAGACGAGGTGAGGAAAACAGGGTCCGGCCCTTTAGGTCCTTCCTCGGACCTGGCCGGGGAAGCCCTACAGTCGCCCTGTTCTCCAAACAGCCAGAAAGCGGCGGGTCGCAACCCCGCTGCTCTCCCTCTGGCCCCACCCCGCCTTGAGCCATCTCGAAGCCTAGGATGAGGCTTGGCCCAGGATTCTACGTGTCCCCTCTACCTAATCCTCCGAGGCCCCCGGATTCCTTGCCGCCGCACAGAAAGAGTGAGGGAGGCGAGCAAGGGGAACGTCAATCGGGAAACGAATTTGCGCCCGGCGCGCGAGAGGCGGCGGCCGGGGATGGAGACGCGGCACCCGTGCCCCGCGCCCCGCGCTGGCGCGATGGCGCCCGGAGGCTCGGGGACAGAGGGCGTGGATCCGGGTAGAGCCCGCAGAGGAAAGCCCACCGGCCGCTGCCTCCTCACCCTTCCCAGGACCTCCTACCAAACCCCGCTGGCGCGCTCGCACGAAAACGCAGGCACCCGGGCAGACCGCGGCTCCGGGAGAAGTAACAGGTTATCGCTCCGAGCCGCGCCTTCGGCTGCAGCCGCCCCGGAGCCCTCCGGTGAGACGGGCACTCGCAGCCGGGACGCGCGGGGGGAGATCACTCGCCATCCCCTTCTGCGCGAGCCTCAGCCTCTGTGCAAACGCGGGGCGTGGACCGCGCCGGTGGGGACAGGCGGAGGGCGCGGGCGGGGGTCCCTACGATGCACGGGCGGAGAGCCAGGGCTGGGCGGGAGGGGGTGGGAGTGGCAGGCACTCGGCTGCTGAGGGGAGATGGCGGGCGCCCGCTACGGACCGGGAAACCGCGGGGGAACGCAGCTGAAGTCGGGCGGCCGCGCGCTTACCCACCTTGGCTCGGCGACAGCGAGCTGAGCGCTTCCGCCGCTGCTCTTCCGCGCGGCGCCCGGAGATCCGCTCGGCTCGGCTCTGCCGGCTCTGCCACGGGCTTCACCGGCCCGGCGTCCCCTCCAGCTGCCGCCTCGCTCGCACCAGCACCGTCCCGCACGCTGGCGCCCGGAGGAGAAGAGAGCGGCGGGGAGCGGCGGCGGCGAAGCTCGGGGGAGGCGGGGGCGGAGGGGGGAGGCGGGACCCGCGAGGCGGGGGAATCACGCGGCCGCTGCTCGCGGGGGCAGCTCGTCGGCAGAGCGGCGGGGCTCCTCTGCAGGTGCGTGACCGCCTCCGGAGTCTTACCCGGCGATTATAAACCCAGGTCACGGCTTTGCGCCCGGAAAAAAAAAAAAAAAAAAAAAAAAAAAAAAAAAAAAAAAGACCCTATGAGTAATCCAGTATGCACTCAACACGCTATTTGTTAAAATAGTGTCTGGTGAAATGAGGGAAAAGATAATTCCCCTTGAAGAATTCTGCTTGGCTGGGCACGTCTTCCTCCCCCACCCCCGTATGTTTGAGGAGATAAGAGCAGCGGCTTTGTCTCAGTTTCTTTTCCAGCAGTTCCCCAGACCTACTAGTGTCCTCGCTGGCCCTCCACTCAGCCAGCATGGTTGTAAAAAGCGAAGGAGACGGAGATGGAGGAAGCACTCAGACCCTTGAAGGAATCTCCATCTCCCTTTCGTTTGTTTTCTTATCCAGCTCAAGGTCTCCCCAAAGTATCTCACTCGAGTACAGCTACCCAGTGCCACGGCAGAGAAAGGGTCCTGTTTCCCACCCACTTGGGGCTCCCACCTAATGTGTAACGGAATCAGGGGCTTTGGCTAGAAATAAGTGATAAAGATGGGTTCCAGGGTCTTAGTGTGTGCAAACCAGAAACGCAAGGAGGCAATGCCTAGAGTGTTCCCAAGAAGAAAGGTAGGCTGAGGGCTCATATAGTAAACGTTCTTAAGGAAATTCAGTCCTACATTCTTACCCTTTGGATTGGTCCGAGATGGTAATTTTCTTGATGACAGGGTGACTAAAAAGTTGAAATCCCCAGGTTAGTTGAAATAAGAATAGAATTGTTTTCTCGTGCCTCAACCTACTTGATTTTTATAATTCAGAAGCTTGACTATAGCGACTTCATTTCTTTATTCTGTTCCTCACTAGCTTTGATCCTCTTGGTGATGGGGAAAGAAGTGATTTTGATTGATTATATCTGAAGGTTAATAATATGTAGAAGCGCCACTCTGTTCACGTGGTGATTCGAGCACAGAGTGGTTATGGTGTGTGTGTGTGTGTGTGTGTGTGTGTGTGTGTGTGTGTGTGTAAAAGCCCTTACTTTTTAGGTCCTCCTTTTGCAATATTTAAGCATATTTAATGAATTGCTCCATTCAGCAAGCCCCTTACCACAAAAAGGCGGTCACGGAAAAACTCCCACCAGAGGGCGCCAGGCGCCCAGAAACCGAAAGGCTCTGTGTTAGCTGGGTCTTTCTGGATGCGCCACACCTGGAGGGGCTGGCTGCGCTCTCCAGTGCCTTTGAGCCATCCCTCCGCTACCCTCGTCACTAAATAAATGTTCTCCTCCTTCCTCTACTTCAGCTTCTTTTCATTTAGGGCAAAACAGAGTTATCTTTGCTTGTGTCCAGATGACACCAGGTAACCTTTACTCGTTTTCATAGTAATTTTTCCCCCCTGTTGCTGCGCAGCAGGCAAAGGTTATTTATGGTCACCGCTGCGGCCTTGCTGGTCCCCCTCCCCATACCACCCCCAACCTCTGCCCCAGGCTGCCCCTCCTCTCTTAATGGCTTATCACTTTTCACCACGCCACAGTGGAGATGCAGAAAATATTACAAATCACTGCATATTTCACAAGGGAGATGGAAGATTCGCTCTGAGAAAATACAGTCCGATCAGTAAGAAAAATCTCGCTGTGAGGTTTGAAATAACCGTGTTGCCCTTGATGCTAAAGAAAATACTGTTGCCCTCTCTCGACCTTACAATAAAAGCTTGAGCACTTTTTAAAGGCACAGAAGCATCCCAAACGGCGGGCCTGGGGTAGCCACAGCCCCAGGGCAGAGCTTGAGGCTGGGAAAGGGTGGGCGTGCCCACTCCGCGCAGGAAACGTTCCTGGGAACCACGCACCCTGCAGCTTCTCTGTCACGCTTGAAATGCGCAGTGTACTGTCGGGTGAGGCTGGGAATTCCACCCATGTCCCCTCTTCAAGCCTTTCTAAGAGATGATTGTACCAATCATGGAGCCTGGTGCAGTGCTATTATGCGCAACGCACGCGGGGGCCAGGAGACAAGGGGGAAGAGACCACAAATCCCAGCGCCCCTGGGGGCAGCAGTCATGGGAGATGCCCGCTCGCCCTCTGTCTCCTCAACCTTCTCCCATTTCCCGAGATTCTCTTAAAGGAAGATTCGTTTACCTTCACCTGTGGCATCAGACTGAGAAATTTCCAACCACTCCCTCTTCTGACCCCGATGTCCAAACCACTCACCCCCAACGTTTTAGCCAAGAAAATTACCTCGCTGAAAAAGAAATCTACAAGAGTAGGTATCACAAATTAAAGATGAGTTGGTCCAGTTTCGAGGACAATCCCCTTTCTCCTTTACAGAGGGGAGCGATAAGGGCTCGTCCTTAATTTAAAAATGTTTAATTGTTAGAAATTAAACGAGTATTTATCTCATACTAGGTGCCAGACACTGTTCTCATAGAGCTTACACTGTTCCAGCAGCTCCTATTATCTCTGCTCTCAAGGATTTGACATTCCAGTTAGGCGGGGAGAGTAAGGAACTTGGATTTATTTTCCAATTATCTGCCATCGCAACCCAGAATCTTGGTCTCAGCGGAGCTGACAAGGAACTCAAGGTCCGGAACCCCACAGTCCTAGCACGTCGAGCTGGGAGGCAGGGCCCAGCCGTTTCAGCACCAAGGACAGCGTCCGCCGTGGGCGCCTCCAGCCTCTTGCGTCTCCAGCTCTGGCCCCTGCGCCCGGCTCGCCCCGCCCGCCTCCCCTCCGGCAGTAACCGCCGCTTTCCCTTGTTGGCCGAGGTGGTGGTGGTGGTGGTGGTGGTGTTTTACCTCCCGTCCTCCCCTCTCCACAAGAAATCGTACGGAGGGTGGTTGTGGTCATCTTTTGGCTTTTTGGAATCTATATTTTTGTTGGTGTTTTCACTCCCTTTTTGTCTTTTATTACTACAGAGGGAAGATGCTTTGGACAATGCATGTGAAAAAATGATATCCTCTCCAGAGACTCGAACCGGAGGGGAGAGGTAGCCCAGAAGGGAGTGGTATCCGCCCAGCTGTTTGGTTTCCATTCATTTGATCTAAGGTTGAGCGCTTTGAAGAAATGGGGACGCGACGCCCAGAGGCAGGAGGAGTGGGCGAGCGCGATCCCAGCGGACTCGCCCCGGGTGTGCTAGCCGGCAGCCCCGGCTACTCCCTGGCCGCGAGCACAACCTCCCGTTAGGTCACCGTGGGCTTAACTTGGGAACAGGACCACCCGCCCACAATGCCCTTTCCCGGGAGGTTTAAAGACATTC